CCAGGCTGGTCTCGAACTCAGATCTCCCTGCCTCTGTCTCCCAAGTGCTAGGATTAACTTGGCCCCTTATTATTTTAACAGTGCTTTTTTATTTATTCCTACTTCTTCATTTTATTGTTGTTTATCAATTACTTACTTTTGGGGTCAAGTCCACACTTGCTTGCTCTGTGGCCCAGGCTGTCCTTGAACTCTCATGAAGAGTGCTTGAGGTGAGCTGGGTCAGCTGGTTCTAGCCCCAGGGTCCAACTGATGAAAGGAGAGAACTCCCAAAAGTTGTCCTCTGACCTCTATATGGGCTCTATGGTGTGCGCATGTACACGCGCATGCATACACACACACACACACACACACTTAATATATTTTTATAATTCTTTTTGTTTGTTTTTCGAGACAGGGTTTCTCTGTGTAAATTTGGAACCTGTCCTGAAACTCACTCTGTAGACCAGCCTGGCATTGAATTCACAGAGATCTACCTGCCTCTGCCTCCCAAGTGCTGGGATAAAAGGCCTGTCAATATTTTTTTTTTTTTTAAAGACTGCTTGACACAGCTTACCTGTCACCCCAGCACTGAACAAGTGGAGGGACAAAGGATCAGGAATTCCCACATAGTGAATTAGAGCCAATGTGGGCTCTTTGAGACCTTGTCTCATAAAAGAAAGAAGGAGGGGGAGACACAAATGAGCAAGCAGGGCATAGATGGAGCTGTGTTGTGGAGTGCTAATTCGAAGCCCTGGGTCCCATCCCTGACCACACAAGCCAGGTATGGTGGTCAACTGGTCGTCTCAGCACTTGAGATCGAAAGCAGAGGGTTTGGGAGTTCATGTCCAGCCTATGGTTTGCAGAGACCCTGTCTTCAAAAGACCACCAACAAATAAAAGTCCCAGGGCCTGACAGCTTTCAAGTCATTTCTGACCTTAGAGTAATGCCATCACCTTGAAACTCAGAGTGACCCCCATTTTACCAGCCACAGATCTGAAGCCCTAGAATGCTGCTGCAGGCTCTGTCTGGCCACCTTGTGCCCTGAGCCTACTCTTCAAGCCCACTCCTGTCAGTGGCTGGTTGCTTATGTTTATCTCTCTGGGACTGGTGGAGGAGGGGAACCCTTACCATACTCCACCCCATTCCCAGGCATTTCTCCCAAGTCGTGACTGATTGGATCCGGAAATGCTTAGTTGGAAGACACAGCCCCTAGGTGACTGCCTGAACGAGCATGCTTCTCCAGGTCTTGGCGGGTGTGGGGGTGTTGAACATCTGGGGTGCTGCTATTTGTGGTCAGACCTGGCCCTCTTCGTGACCTGCCCAAGCTCCTTGACTGCTAAGCAGTAAGGAAATACTTCTCAGAGTTGGGAGGGATAGTGTTTCAACTGCATAAAGCTTCCAGTGAAAAAGCTGGGTCGAGGAAGAAAGATTTTTCTGGAAGTTTTGTAGTTCTCCTGAGTCCAGTTTATATGTGTGCAGCATAGAAGGAGGATGGTAGAAAATCAATGACAGTCTTTTTTTCCTGTGAGACTGACCCTGTGCTGTTACTCTTGGTGCTCTCCCCCCTCACAGAGGATACTGCCAGAATGTCCCTCCTGGTCATGTCACCTTCAGCTTCTCCTGTGGAAATTGTAGCCTTTGGGACTTCTCATTCAGTTTCAAGCAAGGTCATGGGATACAGCTCAGTAGTAGAATATTTCCGTAGTATTTTCAAGGCCTTGGGTTTTACCTTCAGCTTTGCAAAAAATTATAATAAGAATATGTGTGTGGTGTATGCACATGTATATAAGACTGTATTTACATGCATAGGTACATATGCATATGTGTGTATAAGATGTTCTTTTTGTGTATGAGTGTGGTATATTGTGCACATGTGTGCAGGTGCAAATGAACACACAGAGGCCAGGGGACGATGTCTGGTTTTGCTCCAGCAGTCATGCCTGGCTTTTTACGTGGGTGCTGGGGATTTGAACTTGGGTCTTCATGCTTGCTTGCCAGCAAGAGCTCTTACCTGCAGAACCGTCTGCTCAGCCTCTATGTGCTCACTCTTTCTTTCTTTCCTTCCTTCCTTCCTTCCTTCTTTCTTTTTTTCTTTCTTTTGGTTTTTTGAGTTGGTTTCTTTGTGTATCTTTGCCTGTCCTGGAATTCACTCTGTAGACCAGACTGTCCTCAAACTCACAGAGAATTGTCTACCTCTACCTCCTGAATAAAGGTGCGCAACATCAATGCCCAGCTCATTCTTTTATATACACATATATAGAACGTATATATAAAATTAAATTTTGATAATGCAAGTGTTAAATGTAGCTACAAAATCAGTACATGTTAGCAATGGTATACTTAATTCTAGTTCTTGGAAGGCCGAGGCAGGTGGGTCTTTGTGAGTTTGAGGCCACCCTGGTCTACACAATGAGTTTCAGAATAGCCTACATAGTGAGACTGTGTTTCCAATAAATTAGATTGTCAGTCATGCTGTGTATACCTGTGGTCCTAGTTCCAGGGAGGCTGAGGCTGGAGGGTAGTGAGTTCAAAGTCAGCATTGAGATACTTAGCAAGACCCTGTCAGAACAAAACACAAATAAAAGAGTAATGATAACCTCCTGAGTATAGTGGTGGACGTCTGTAATCCCAGAACGAGGGAAGCTGAGACAACATAGTAAGTCCTTGTCTCAATAACACCAAATAGCCATAACCACCACCTCAGCATTTAGGAGGTGGAGACAGAAGTATTAGGAGTTTAAGGTCATCTTCAGCTACACAGCAAGTTCAAGATCCACTTGGGTTACTTGAGACCCTGTGTCAAGCAAAACAAAAAACAGCTATCAAATAGCAAGATTATAGCTGACTGTGGGTTCTGCACAGGCTCGTGCTGCATGGGGGCAGTAAGGAATGAGTTTGGGTGGGTCAGCACCCTGCTTCCCATGTGCAGCCCCTCAGAGAGCCCCCTGTCTTCACGTTTAAGCGCAACTGCGAGGGCCAGGTCAAGGAAACTACTAACTAACTTTGTTCTCTTTGGGAAAAGGTGGAAGGCCTGTTTCTTCCTGTAGCCAGCTCAGACAGGATTGCTGTAAGGGCTCTCCTACCCCTGTGGCAGGTTAGCAGTGGTGCAGGAGAGCCTTTGATCTTCCCCTTGGATGTCCTGACTCAGGAAGCAGCCCTTGCAATGAACTTCTGATCCTCACCATAGTGAGGTGAAAGGACAGGACCTATCCCAGTCCCTCTCTGCAGGACACTAGGAGAAATCTTGGAGAGGACACAAGATGAGACCTGCCGTCGTAGAATGGTTGTTTGAGATTAACGTGGAGAATGGAATCTCTGACCCCAAACAGCATCCCAAATTGGGTCTTGATATTTTATGATAAGGCACCCCCAAATAAATAGTTTGAGGCAGTTGGAAGCTGACTGGTGCTTGTACAAACATTGAGAACCTGAGTCCTAGAACCTGTATGAGAAAGTATGAAACCCAGGCAGGAAAGTGGAGACCAGTGAGTCCCTAGGGCTTGCCGATCTGCAGGCCTAGCTTGATAATGTCAAGCCAAAAGCCAATAAGAGAAACAAGGCGGGACTGGAGAGGTGGCTCAGAGGTTAAGAGCACTGACTGATCTTCCAGAGGTCCTAAGTTCAATTCCAAGCAACCACATGATGGCTAACAGTCATCTATAATGAAATCTGGTGCCCTCTTCTGGTGTGCAGGCATACATAGAAGCAGAATTTTGTATACATAATAAATAAATCTTTAACAGAGAGAGAGAGAGAGAGAGAGAGAGAGAGAGAGAAACAAGGCTAGAGCAGTGGTTCTCAACCTTGCCAACGCTGGGACCTTTAATACAGTTCATGTCGTGAGGTACCAGACATGTGCTACCTGGTCAGAGACAAAGAGAGACAACAGTTTTCTTTCTTTCTTTCTTTCTTTTTCTTCTTTCTTTCTTTTCTTTTCTTTTCTTTTTTTTGTTTTGTTTTGTTTCTCGAGACAGGGTTTCTCTGTAGCTTTGGAGCCTGTCCTGGAGTTAGCTCTTGTAGATCAGACTGGCCTTGAACTCACATACCAATAAATAAATAAATGCATTTTTTCAGAGGGCTAGAAAGCTGGCTAGGTAGTTAAGAGACCTGGCAGCTCTTGCAGAAGACCCGAGTTTAAGCTCCCAGCACCTGAATGGAAGCTCACAGCCATCTGTGACTCCAGTTCCAGAGGATTTGCTGTCTTCATCTGGCCTCCTCAGGTACCTGTATACTTGCATGTATATAAATTTTTTTAAAAGATGAAAATAAATATTAATAAGGGAGGTTATTTTGAAAACTGCCTCTGGTAAGGTACGGTAGGTAGTACATGCCCAGAGGTAGTAGTAGGTAGTATTATTAACCCAGAGCTGGGCAGGTTAAGGCAGGAGGAATCAGGCATTAAGGCCAATTTCAGCCACACAGTTAGTTTGAGACCAGCCTGAGCTACATGAAACTGTCTCAGGCTGTCTCAAAAATAAATCAATAAGCCAGGTGTAGCAGAGGCAGGCAGATCTCTCTGTGAGTTTAAGGCCAGCCTGATATATATAGAGTTCTAGGCCAGCTATGGCAACACAGTGAGACCCTGTCTCACAAGTAAATAGATAAGGGCTAGAAAGAGATGGCTCAGCAGTTCAGAGCACTGACTGCATTTTCAGAAGACCAGATTGCCCGCACTCACAGCTGGCTCCAGTTCCAGGTGGATCTATTGTCTTCTCCTGCCCACTGCAGGCTCTGCACATGGGTACACAGACACACCTGCAGGCAAACACCTGTATAGAGAAAATAGAAATAAATAAACTTTTTTTTTCAAGACAGGGTTTCTCTGTGTAGCTGTTCAGGAACTCTCTCTGTATACCAAACTCACAGAAATCCACCTGCCTCTGCCTCCTGAGTACTGGGATTAAAGGTGTGTGCCACTACCGCCTGGCAAAAAAATAAATAAACCTTCTTAAAATGAATAAACAAATGCATTAGTTTTAAAATTTCATTTGTGGCCAGGTGTGGTGGTTCAGGCCTGTAATCCTAGCACTTTGTTGCTGAAGCAGGAGGATGACTGTGGATTCAACACCGGTCTGAGCCCCAAATTGAACTTGGTATGTTTTGGTTTGAGGGGGTATTTTTTTCAGTTTATTTATTTTTATTTTATGTACATTGGTGTTTTGTCATGGGTGTCAGGTTCCCTGGAACTGAAGTTATAGACAGTTGTGAGCTGTATGTGGGTGCTGGGAATTGAACTTGGGTTCTCTGGAAGAGTAGTCAGTACTCTTAACCACTGAGCCATCTCTCCAGACCTTGGGGGTATTTTTATTTTTTGGTGGGGAGGGCGGACCTGAGAGGAATGGGAAGCGAATGTGATCGGGGTGTATTGTATGAGATTCCCAAATTATTAATAAAAATATTATGTTGGGGAAGAAAGAACAAAGGGAAAATAGCCATTTCACTTTTGGCAAGGGGCATGGCATAGGTTTAGGACACCTGCTGACGCTGGAAGGTCATGATTCTATCTCAGAACCGCACAAAAACATTCATTTTGTCCAGTTATTTTATCTTTTCTGTGCACGTGTACAGGTCATGGTGTTGTCTGGATATACCTCGAGTGTTGATCAGAGGACACAGAGAGTGCTCCTGCTCAGGGCCCGTCCTCACCTGTATACGCCAGACTAACTGGCCCTTGGTCAATTTCAGGAACTCTCTGTCCGCATCTCCCGTCTTACCGCTGAGATTACAGGGGTACATTTACCACCACACCTGTCTCCAAAGGGTCCTCGCCATTGTATTGCAGCTTCTCGGGTTCTCAGGCTTGTGTGCAGGCATTTTCTCTGCTGAGCCATCTCCCAGCACCAGAACTGCGCTTGTGTTTGTGTGGTGGTGGTGGTGGTCCCTGTGTATCTGGGTGTCTTCTGTCGTGCTCCACCCTATTCCCTTGAGACAGGGTCTCTCACTGAACCAGAAGCTGGCCATTTTGACTAGGCTAGTTAGGTGGCCACCAAGCTCCTGGAATTTTCCTGTTTTTCTGACCCAACATTCAAGTTAATAATACATACAAGGCCATCCCTGTATTTTCTTTTTTTAAATATTTATTTATTTATTTATTATGTATACAATATTCTGTCTGCATGTATGCCTGAAGGCCAGAAGAGGGCACCAGACCTCATTACAGATGGTTGTGAGCCACCATGTGGTTGCTGGGAATTGAACTCAGGACCTTTGGAAGAGCAGGCAGTGCTCTTAACCTCTGAGCCATCTCTCCAGCCCCCCATCCCTGTATTTTCATGTGGGTGGTTGGGATTTGAACTCAGGTCCTCTTTAAAAAGTTTTAAATTACATTTCTTTGTGGAGAATGGGGGTAGAAGTGTGAGTGGGTTGCATGTGACAAGGAGCAGGTGTTGATGGAGATCAGAGGATTTGTGAACTTGGTTCTTTCTTCCTACCATGTGGGCCCTGGAGGTGAAACTCAGAATCAGGATTGGCACCAAACCCCTTTTATCCGATGAGCCCTCTCACACACCCAGAACCCCTGTCCTCCTGCTTTCACAATAGGTACCCATTGAGCCATCTCCCAAAGTCAGAAATGCAGTTGGAAGAGTTTTTTTTTAAAGAAATTTTTATTTTATGTTTGCCTGCATGTTTGTCTGTGCACTACATGCGTGCCCAGTGACAGCAGAGGCCAGAAGAGCATGGCAGACTTCCTGGAGCTAGAGTCACAGATCTTTGTGAGTACCATGTGGGTGCTGGGAGCTCAACCTGGGTCCTCTAAAAAAAGAACAGGCAGTCCTCTGAAACACTGAGCAGCTCTCCAGTCCCAGAAATGCATTTTTTTTAACATTTCTTATAGTTTATTTAACTTTTATTTTACGTGCATTGGTATGAAGGTGTCAGATCCCCTGGAACTGGATCTTCAGACAGTTGTGAGCTGCCATGTGGGTGCTGGGAATTGAACCCTGGTCCTCTGGAAGGGGAGTCAGTGCTCTTAACCACTGAACCATCTCTCCAGCCCCCCAGAAACGCATTTTTAATTTTAAAATATAATGACTGAAAAGTAAGATTCTCTGGCCGTCGTGGTTCAGCATTCTGGTAATCTCAGAATGCTGTGGCAGAATAGAGCATCCAGTCTGGCCTACGCTACACAATAAGATCCTGCCTTAAAAAACAAACACGCAGAAAACAAAACAAACAAACAAACAAAACCCAGCCAGGTGGTGGTTGTGCACGCCTTTAATCCCAGCACTCAGGAAGTAGGGGGATCCCTGTGTTTGAGGCCAGCCTGATTTACAGAGGGATTTCCAGAGGAGCCAGAGCTACACAGAGAAATCCTGTTTTGGGGGGAAAAAAAGATCCAGTCTCAAAAATAAATAGACAGGTAGATAGATAAAAGAAAAAAGTATTCTGTGATATGAAGAGAAAGTTATACTGAATAGTAGCTTGTCCCAGGGCTGGAGAAGTAGAATGCTGTTCCCTGTTGATCCTCCTGGGTCACTGTGCTATTTTTAAATGTGCCTGTTGGACATCTGTTTTCTTGCTGAGGCACCTTTTGCTGTGACCATCTTGCAACATGCTCACATTCCAAGGTTTTTGCTCTGTGAAGGGAGAAGAGGAGAAGAATACACAGCTTGCACTATGGTCCATTGTTTTGTTGTCTCGTTGTCAGGTATTAAGCTTTCACTGTGAGCCCAGTGAGGTTCTGTGAGCCAGCACTTGGGAGGCTGAGGAGACTAGAGGATCCCTGAATTCAAGGCCAGCCTGGGCTATCTATTGAAACCTTGTCTCAGAAGTGATGCCAGGAATGTACAGAAACTGACACCTGGCATCCTTATGAGGAGGAAAGATGACATAGAGACAGCTGTTAGGGAGAGGACCAGCAGGATAGGAAGGAAGTGGCTCCTGAAGTGATGGGACCACAAGCCAAAAACCTTCATGGCCGTTGGCAGCCACCAGGCCCAGGGCAGATTATCCCCAGAGTCTCCAGAGGGTCCTGATCCCACCAGGCCTCACAGCCAAACAGAGGGCTCTTCTCCGCAGTCCCACATCCGCTCTGCTGTGACTCCAGTGCTGGGGAAGGGGAGGCAGGAGAAGGCCAGAAGTTCAAGGTCTGCTTGGCCCCCCCACTGTGTTTCAAAACACTGGAAAACAGCTGGGCACGGTGCTGCCTGCTTGTGGCCCAGTACTGAGCATCTCAGCATTGGGAGGGTGAGGAGGGAGGGTCAGGAACTTAAGGTCAGCCTCAACTGTGTACCTAGCTGGAGGCCAGCCTGGGCTACTTGATACCCTGTCTTGTAACACACACACACACACACACACACACACAAACAAACAAACTTGCAGAGAGAGAATCCTGTCATGCTGGTTCTTAGATGTTTGTGTTTAAGTCCCTACTTCTGGCTCTCTTTCTCCTCCCTTCCCCTTCTCACTTTCCTGCTTCCTCTCTCCTTTTCTTCTTTCCTTTCTGACAAGTTTCCCACCACATAGGCCAGGCTAGTCTTGAACTTGTCCTCTTACCTTAGCCTTTCCAATGCTGGGATCACAGGTGTGCTGCTATGTCTGGCTTCTCCCTTGATATCTTTCATTTGTTTTTGTGGTTCTGGTGGTGGGACTTGGTATTGTACATATTAGGCAAGTTTTCTCCCATTGAGCTATGAGCTATATTATATTCCCCAACCATTTTTATCTTTAATTTTGATATGAGGTCTCACACTGTAGCCCAGGCTGGCCTTCAGCTCTTTTATTTTTTGTGTATGGACATGTAACTAGAGGTTTCTCTCCCACTCCCCAGGTCCCAAATAACCACTCTGAGGCTTAATATTAATTACAAACTGTTTGGCCTATTAGCTCAGGCTTATTATTAACTACTTAAATTAACCCATTTCTGTTATTCTATATTTTACCATGAGGCTCATGACCTTTTAACTCACATCTTGCTTCTCTAGCAGCTGCTGCTATTTACTTTGACTCTGCCTTCTTTTTCCCTTTATCTTTGCTTGGATTTTCCACCTGGCACTATTATGCCTGGCTATTGGACAAATCAGCTTCTTTATTAACTAATGGTAATAAAACATATTCATCACATACAGAAGGGCATCCCACATTGTGGATGATTTGCTTACATGTATATCTGTGCATCACTCACATGCCTGGTGCCAGCAGAGGTCAGAACATGACATCAGATCTCCTGAAACCACAGTTACAGATGGTTGTGAGGCACCATGTGTGTGCTGGGAGCCAAACCCCTGACTGCAAGGACAATCAATGCTCTTAACCTTGGAACTGTCTCTCTAGCCTCTGGCCTTGATTCTCCCTCAGCCTTCTGAGTAGCTGAAATGCCAGGCCTGAGCTCACTAGGTCCTGAGACTGCAGGTCATCTTAGGTTATTCAGAAGCCGAAGTGGTGTAGTACCATGCCCACAGTTGTAACAAAGAGATTGTTTAAGGACCTAGGACAAGAAAAACAGCATAGATGACAGAACTCACAGTTTGCTCAGGTGTGACTTTCTTGTCTGCAGAATAGATGGGTGCACCAAGCTTCTGGCAACTCTGAGCAGGAGTCTAGGCTGCTGCCACTGCATCCTCCTCTGCGGTGTGTGGTCCCCTCACCCGCTCTGGAGGAAACAGTCCTGGTGCTCAGCTCCCAGCATGGTGGGAGGACAATCTGCTCCTTCTCAGGCCTTTCCCTAGAGCAGACGGCACTTAAACAAGGCAGAGGACAGCTAAAATTGTCCTCCCAGCACTCAGGACTTGGAGGCAGAAGGATCAGGAGTTCAAGGTCATCCTCAGTTATATAGTTGAGTTCAAGGCCAAACATAAGACCCTTTTTCAAATAAAGAGTCAGGCATGATGGCACACTCCCTTAGTCCTAGCACTGGGGAGACAGAGACAGGAGGATCTCTGAGTTCAGGGCCAGTCTGGGCTACACAGTATGACCTGTCTCACAAACAGAAAGATGGTAGGGGAGCACTGGGCTGGAGTGCTGCATGGCCCATTTGATCCACTGGTCTCAGCCCTGCTTGCTTCCTTGTTAGGGAGCATACTAGCCAGCATGTATCATATCCCAGGAATAGAGTGACAGAGGGAAGGACAGGTATATAGAGGTCACATGGCCTCTATCTTGTCACAGCAGCAGTAGGATCTGCCCCCATTCGGGAAGCATCAATATAATGCAGAGCTGCACTGGGCAACAGTAGAGACCTGCACAAGGGCAGGAACAGCTGGTGAGGCTAAAGCACCATGCAGGCTCTGGTGCTTCCATGGCCCCCAGCCTGAGTGGGGATCTAGTGGAATGGGGTATAGGAACCACTTCTTTTAGGGGAGGGGTTCAAGACAGAGTTTCTCCATGTAGCCCTGGCTGTCTTGAACTCACTCTGTAGACCAGGCTGGGCTTGAACACAGAGATCCACCTGCCTCTGCCTCCTAAGTGCTGGGATTAAAGGCGTGTGCCACCCGCACCTGCCTGGAGAACCACTTGGCACAAGTAACACTGGGAAGAGTGAGAATGAGATTTTCAAGGTGGGTTTCAAAGAATGCAGAAATATTTTTTTTAGCAGAGCAGAGTATGAAGATGTGGAGTTCAGAGTGTCCAGGTAATTTACCTACCTGTCCTTCAAATAACCGTGAGTGAGCAGGTGCAGAGCACTGCACTGGGGTGAGAACCTGGGCAGCAATAACTGAAGGGGAGCCAGCATAGCACTCAAGAGCCTCTGGTAATAGTGTGGGTCGGTAAGAACAGAGGACAGTGACTTTGTACAATTATTTACCATGGTGGGGAGGATGTGCGTGTGTGTAGAGGTCAGAGGCTACAGGCAGAAGTCAGTTCTGTCAGTTCACCAAACAAGTTCCAGAGATGGAACTCTGACCATCAGGCTCAACAGCAAAGTCTCTACCTGCTGAGCCGTCTCACAGACTGTTTTTTCTTTTTTCAGTACATTCCCACCGAGCTATATGTATCCCCACTCCTATATGGACCTTCTCATCTTTGAGACAGCGTCTTGCTAAGTTGCCCCAGCTGGCCTGGGACTTTCCATGTATCCCACCTAGGCTGGCCCCTGTGCTGGGTTAGCAGCTGTGCCTTGTGGCCAGAGCTGTCTGGGTCTTTTGAGATCTGAGAGATTGTGAGGCATGCATAGAGCTCCCAGCCAGGGTGACAGTCACAGTCCCCAGAGCACAGAGTGAGGAGCTTCCATCTGTCTTCAAGGCTGGCAGGCAGGGTTAGCAGTCAACAGCCCCCATGCCAGACACAGCAAACTGTATGAACTAGAAAAGAAACCAGCCTTTGTCATTGGCAGACAGATACTAATTTGCTTCAGATGACTGTCATTATGGGATCCACTGCGGACCTGTCACTGAGCAGTAGCCCCCTCCAGGGATAGGATGGGGCTGGCTGCAACCCTGAGGCAGGGGTACAGGTGGACCTCCCTGGGTAGCCAGAGATCTGACACTCAAGGATCTGAGGATGGAACACAAGTCTCCTGCGTGCTAAGCTCCCCACCTGTCCTACCGCAGTTGCTGTCTTGAAGTAGTTACTGCATCACTCCCCACCCACCTTGCTTGTTTAGGCAATGGAGTGATGGCCAGAGTAAAGCAGTAGGAGCGGGAGGGACAGCTCAGTGGTAGAGTGTTTGCTGGCACTGTGAAGTCATGGGTTCCATCCCTAGTACTGAACAGAAGTTAGCTGAGCCAAGTGTGGCGTTGTGAACCTGTCATCCCAACATTCACAAGGTAGAGGCAGAAGGGTCAGGAGTTTACAGTTGTTTTCAGCTGCACAGCATGTTTTTGGAATAGTACAAGACCCTGTTTGAAAGAGAAAAAAAAAATGAGTAAAAGAGGGCTAGTGGATACAACTCAGTGCTTCAGCAATTTCTCAGCACCCAGAAGCTTTGCTTCAACCCCAGTACCAACAAACAAAATTGTCTTTGAGCCAGGCATGGCATAGCACATCTATAAATTCAGCGCTAAAGGGGACTGAGGCAAGAGGATCAGGAATTCAAACCAGCCTAAGCTACACGAGACCCTGTCTCAAAAACAAAGCTGGGTGGTGGTGCATAATTTAATCCCAGCACTTGGAAGGTTCTGGCAGGTGGATCTCTGAGTTCCGGGCCTGCCTGGTTTACAGAGCAAGTACCAGGACAGCCAGGGCTACATAGAGGAACCGTGTCTTAACCAGAACATACAAACAGCAACAACAAAAACAGAATAGAAGATAAATCTATTCCTATAAACCAATCTGTGTCATACAGATCAATGTTTTCCCCTGCTCCATAGTTGGCACTTCATCTGTCCCCCCATCACACCCACCCAGGGCAAAGTGATCATAGAAAGCAGAGCTCAGAGGTGGCAAAATGGCTACTTGACTAGGAGATGCTTAGCTGACCTTACCTTAACTAGAAATTCAGGCCTGAACACTGAGAGCAACCCTGTGCTGTTTCTTCCCGGGCAGCGTCCCTATGGTGTTCCATCTTGAAGAACAGAGACTGGGGAAAGCAGGAGGCAACACAGATCAGAAAAACAGGATGGGGATGGCTGGGGGCAGTGTGTAACTGTAAATGTTTAACACTGGGGAAGGACATGAAGAAATAGCCAATAGACCCCAGACAAAGCCTGGCACCTGCAGCTCAGCACCAGTAACAGGATGGCAACACTGCCATCTGCTGTTAGATGTGAGGCTTGGTTCTAGTGTCGTCATCTGTGTCCTTCCTCATTGTGTGTTCCCACCCCCACCCACCTTTTACTGAAACCTTCAGCTCCTGTCTCTTCCGTACAGTGGTGCATTGTTTGCCTAGACCCTAAGTGTGTCCTCCCTAGATGACAGAACTCCAGATAGAGTTCAAATAGTAAGCAAATAGCCCACTATATTGTTTAGGAAACTGTGAGCATGCTCAATACCGATGCTTTGTGTTTGACCTGGTGCCTGCTCAGCAAGCAGCCTACACCCTCACCTCTTGCAGACAGTTTCTGTGTTTGCTTTCCAAGCCACCGCGGGTCGCTGTCCACCTGACCCTTGGGGAGGCTCATTCTACAGTGTCCTCACATTCCCACTGTGGGTACAGGAGCCACATCCCGTCCTCCTGACCTGATGTCTCTATCCTTGTCCCAGGACAGGCGCTCCAGAGCACCAGCTGGCTCATCACTGAGGCCAGGGTGATTATTATTACCTAAGGAGAGCCCAGCCTTGAATTTGACCTTCCTGCAACAACTCTCAGTGCAGGGCAACAGACTGGCAGCACAGGAGATAGACAGAGGCTGGCATATTGCACCGGCTGGGAAATCGCCTCCCCACTAAGTGCTGTTGCCTACCCCCAAGATTTTTAAAGTCATGCAGGCCTAGTCTCACAGCTTCCCTCAGATGTGCTTTGCTCTGGCTTTTTCCAGGCTTGTAAAAGGCTGGGTGGCCTCATGCCAAGGCTAGGTATCCTGGCTGCCGTCCCTCAGGTGTGCTTCCCCCAACCCATCTTCTACCAAGCTACCTATGGCATTAGCGTACAGCAAGCACAAGTTAACTGGTCCTGAGCCTGCTGGTTCAGACACTGACTTCTGTCCCCGTCCCAGGACATGAGCTTGGAGAGTGACTCCCGAGTGCTAGAGTCAGCTTGCAGGGCACTGAGCTGCTCAAGACACTGCTTGTGACAGAGTTATGTTCTATTTGACTTTAGGAATTGATGTCCAGCCTCCTCCAGCCCCACCCCTTGGCTCTTCCTCTGGGATAAGTGAAGGCTTAATTAAGGAACACATGGTTTTCTAGGACAACTTTGAGGTCTGGGCTCCCTAGGGAAAGGGTCTCCTGCAGCTTTGGAGTCCTGTGCTAGGCTTGATTGAGCATCTCCGAAAAGCAAGGGAGATTCAGTAGATTCACCTTCAGTAGAGGGTGAGTGAGCAGCCATGTATACACACCAGTAACCACCTGGAGTCACTGTCACCTTTGTGGATCAACAGGCCACAGCCTCCCTATCTACAGATTTTTTTATTATTATTATTATTTTTTTTAGATTTTAGAGTGCTGGCAGTGGGGGTTGGGGAGCTTAAGATGTTACCCCACCCCTCCCCGCTGCCCTTCATTGGAGGATTCTAGGCAGCTGCTCTACCCCTAGCTCCTCACTGGGGAATTTCAGGCAGAAGTTCTATCAGTTTTACTCCCAACTCCCCATCTATAAAGCAGACAGATTAGATAAAGGCAGGTCTGGCATGGGCCGCTGCCACTGTGCCCTGTTTGTAGTGCATGTCTCACTCCTCCACACAGAGGCCATTAACCCAGTATGCACTCTGCCAAGAAGGTCTTCTAGGAAACCAGCTAACAGCAAGCCCTGCAGAAGGTGCCCCCTTAGCGCTCTGCGTATGCCCCGCCGTGACCATACCGCCCCAAAGCCAGCACTGCTGCTCGAAAGCCACAGAGGCTGTCCATCTTCACTTGGCATTGTTTTGTAGCCTTTATTTCACCCATTCATTTTAGTTTTCTTTCTTTATTTATTTGAGGCAGTTCCCCATTCTAGTGCTGGGGTGATGGGTGTGCCTCGTGGCACCTGTTTTATGTGGTGCTGGGATGGGAAACCATGGCTTCCTGACTGCTAGGCAAGCACTTTACCAGCTGAGATGCAGACGAAGCCCTAGGTTTAGTCTCTTTGATTTCAAAAGATGGGGTTTCTCTGTGCAGCCCTGGCTGTCCTGGAACTTGCTTTGTAGATCAGGCTGACCTCGAACTCAGAGATTCACCTGCCTCTGCCTCCTGAGTGCTGGGATTAAAGGCCTGGCTAATTTTAGTCTCTTTATAGTCTTGCATATTGCTTACTAGGGTTTTTTATTTGTATTTATTTGTTTATTTATTTTGGTTTTTTGAGACAGGGTTTCTCTGTGTAGCTTCGACTTGCAACTAGAGTTACAGACAGTTGTTAGTAGCCATGTGGATGCTGGGGATTGAGCCTGGGTCCTTTGGAAGAGCAGTCGGTGCTCTTAACCGCTGAGCCTTCTCTCCAGCCCCTGGAACTCGCTCTGTAGAGCAGACTGGTCTCACAGAGATCCGCCTGTCACAGTGCACACTTGGAGGTCAGGGGACAGCTTGTTGGCTCTTTCCTTCCACCATATAAGTTCTAGGGAGTTGCATGTGTTTTCAGGGCTCTATGCACAAAAGAATTCTCTCCTTTCCCCACCATCTAATTCACTCATCTTAAATCAGGAAGGAGTCCTGGAGACACACCTCTAGGGTCATCACTCAGTGTCCTCATTCCACCTTCCAGCTTTCATCCCGTTCCCTATCCTGTGGGTCCCTCTCTCAACACCTTAGGGTACTGCTTGCAAGCTCACATTTATGTTTCCTGTCGCAACCTCAGTTGGTTTGGTGTTTTTTTTTTCCTTTCTTCCCTTCCTTAAGTTATTAGGGTTGGGAACTAGCGCCTCCTACAGGCCAGACAGAGCTCTATTGCTGATCTATGCCCCCAACCCTCCTGGCCGTATTATTTTTATTTTTGTATTTATATTTGTGTCGGTATATGTGGGTACCTGTCGAGACCACAGAACTGGAGTCCAGGTAATTGTGAGTGAGCTGCCTGACGTGGCACAAGTCCTAGTCAGAATTTCTGTCGCCGGAATAAACATCACGACCGAAAGCAGCTTGGGGAGGACAGGGTTTTATTGCACTTGGAATTCAGGTTCCACGTGTCAGTGAGGGAAGTCAGGAGCATGTGCAGGAGCTAGTGCAGAGGCTGTGGGGGAGTCCTGCATCCTGGCTTGCTCCCCATAGCCTGCAGCCTCCTTTCTCTTTTCTTTTTTTCTATTTTCTTTATTTGGTTTGTTCAAGGCAGGGTGTCACTCTGTAGCCCTGGCTGTCCTGGAATTCACCAGACTGGCCTCAAATTCACAGAGATCCACTTGCCTCTGCCTCCTGAGTGCCGAGATTAAAGGCTCAGCCTGCTTTCTTACAGCACCCAGGACCATTTGCCTAGGAGTAGTACCACCCACAGTGGGCTGGGCCCTCTGTTTCTCCTGGACTGAGGCTAAGCCACATTGAGGGCAGAGTTGGGAGCTAACAACTCACAGTCAGTGCTATTGCTTTCCTGCCACTGTGGTCTCCTGCAGCTGCTGCTCACCATCACACCGTTCTGTGTACTGATTTCTCACTTTTTTTTCATTCATTTATACTTTTATTTGTTGGTTCTATGGCGCCCCAGACCTCCTACTTACCAGGTTTATGAAAGCTGCATCCTTGTTGATTGGATGTCCCCCCTCCACAATGGGGTTTAAGCTCTGAGCCTCAAGTATGCAAGGGCAGTGATACCTGCTGAGCTGTCTCAGGGGCTCCACTCACTGGTGATTGTAGGCAGGAGCTCTACCCCCTGAGCCATAGCTCCAACCCCTCACTGATGGCTTTCCTTTACTTTTTACTGATGCCAAGCTGATCTTAAACTCAATGGCCTTGGATTCAGGTCTTCCTGCCTCAGCCTCCCAAATGGTAGGGTGACAGGGCTGCATCACCAAGTCTACTGATTAGATCATACAAAACCATGAAGACTGAGACCTGGAAGAACAATGGGGCACAGTGACATCTCTACCATTCCTTCATCTCTGCTTCCCCCTGAGGTCCAGTGGTCCGAGAAGGCGGGACACTGGTGGCTTCACTGGTCTAGATCTTCATGGGAGAGTGCAGGGAACAAGGCCTTCCTTCACACAACATCTTTCTGCAGAGAACAGGCAGCTGGCGTCAAAGAGAGCCCTTGGGTCTAGACTTGTAGTGGTACTTCATTTGTATTTTAATAAATAAAGCTTACCTGAAGATCTGAGAGTAAAACAGCCCTACCAGTCAGCCTTACAGACCAGACAGTGGTAATACACACCTTTAATCCCAGTAGCCACACTAGATGCCATAGAAACTGGGCAATGCATGTCTTTAGTCCCAGTGGTGCACACCTGTAATCCCAGCCCAAGAGAGGAATATAAAATGGGAGGAGACAGCTCTCACACACAGCCTCATTCTGAGATTCCTGAAGGCAGGATTGCCATTTTGGACTGAGGTCAAGGTAAGAGCCAGTGGCTGACTGCTTTGCTTCTTTGATCTTTAGATTGAACCCCAATTTCTCTTATTTCTCTTTCTCTGTTTTTTTTTAAATCTTGCTGCATACACTCATGCTGGCAGACCACCCTGGATTGGTGGGGCTGGTGCTCAGTGGCTGTGGGTGTGTGGGTCCTCGATCTCTCTCCGTTTCCTGCCATGCTGGTGATGGTTAGAAGATGGTCCTTTCTTTCTTCTCCCTGCCGTGTGGCCTCAGCCAGCCTCTTATCCTCTCTGATCTGCTAGCACTGGTTCAGAAAAACAGACTATTTGTGATGGCCATGTGCAAGTGACAGAAAAAAAAGAAAGATGTTTGTTATAATGAAGCCATCGACCCAGGGCACAGCAGCTTCAGAATCTGATTAAAGGCAAGGGCATATTCTCCCTTTTGGGAGTGGAGCCAAGAGTCAAGTGCTGACCTGGGTGAGCCTCAGAAGTCAACAGCCAAGCTGCCACCATCCTGCTAAGTCCAGCTCATCTCTCCCAGCCCTTTTTGTTCTTCAGGATTGATTCTCCCACTGTTCAGCACACCTGGGATGGGTAATGGTGTACAGGAAGGCTCGGTGCGCCTGCGCGAAGATGCTGAAGCTGTTCTGTCCGGGGCTGTCTCCTCAAAGGCAAGTACTGCCATCTCCCTTCCTGTGGGACAGTGATTCTCAGCCTTCCTAACGCTGCAGCCCTTCATATAGTTCCTCATGGTGTGGTGACCCCAACTGTAAAATTTTTCTTTTTTTTTCTTTTTTTTTAATATTTATTTATTATGTATACAATATTCTGTCTGCATGTATGCCTGAAGGCCAGAATAGGGCACCAGACCTCATTACAGATGGTTGTGAGCCACCATGTGGTTGCCGGGAATTGAACTCAGGTACTTTGGAAGAGCAGGCAATGCTCTTAACCACTGAGCCATCTCTCCAGCCCCTTTCTTTTTTTTTTTTAATATTTATTTATTTATTATGTATACAATATTCTGTCTGTGTGTATGCCTGCAGGCCAGAAGAGGGCACCAGACCCCATTACAGATGGTTGTGAGCCACCATGTGGTTGCTGGGAATTGAACTCAGGACCTTTGGAAGAGCAGGCAATGCTCTTAACCTCTGAGCCATCTCTCCAGCCCCTCTTTTTTTTTTTTTTTAAGACAGGGTTTCTCTAGCTTTGGAGCTTGTCCTGGAACTTGCTCTTGCAGACCAGGCTGGCCTCAAACTCACAGAGATCTGCCTGCCTCTGCCTCCCGAGTGCTGGAGTTAAAAGCATGCGCCACCACCACTCAGCAAAAGTATTTTTATTGCTACTTCATAGCTATAATTGTACTACTGTTATGAAACGTAAATATGTGTTTTTTGATGGTCTTAGGCGACTCTTGTGAAAGGGTCATTTGACCCAAAGGGGTCTTGACCCACAGGCTGAGGACCACTGCTGCAGGCCGGTCTCTGGGTCCTCACAGGGTCAGCAGAGCACAGGGCAGTTCTTGCCATCCTCACTCCTAATTGTAGGAGGTACTGGATGGAGAGCAGGGGTGGCAGGTCTTATTGCAGTTGAAGGAGACTGTCCGTCTGAAAGTGAGAGTGGGACTGGGCACACTAGAGTCTATCTGTAGTCCTAGCACTCGAGAGTCTAAGGTCAGAGAGTCACAAGTGCCCAGCTCAGGCCACCCTTGTTCCCTGTGGACGTCTGCCACCAGTGGAAGTCCTGCTGAAACAGGCTGGCACAGTCCACAGGCCTCCCTAGGCCTGGCAGGCACTATAGCAACAGTCCCAAAGTCCATGGGGTCAGTGACTGAGCTGGCAGTGCCTTGTGGTCCTCCTGACCTTTTCCTGGGTTACAGGAGGCACCTGGGACTGCCAGGGGGACAAGAGGAGCATGTACCAGGGACAACTGGAAAGTCACTAGTGGGGTACTTAAGCATAGTCCTGGAGGCTGCCTGACTGTTTGGCAGAATGTAAAGCGTTCCAGAGAGCCTCTCGGACAACTCCTGCCTGCCCAGGGACCCACTGAAGGCACCATCACCAGTGAACTCCCTCAGTCATCATTTACCACTGCGCCTGCCAGTAGACCACCAGCGTCACCCCATGTAGGCCTCTGAACTCTCAACATCAACACCTTCTGGCCACTGGACCCCCAACCTCACCTCCTGCTGTCCAATGAACCCCCGGTATCCTTCAGCTGGTCACTGGACCCCCCAACATCGCCCCCTGCTAGCCACTGGATCCCCAGCATTGCCTGTTAGCCATTACTTGAGTACTATTCTGCCCTTATGGCAGCCCCATGGAGGGCTAATTACTAGCTGGGCACAGTGCACACCTGGTGATCTCAGCTCCAAACTGACTCTACAGAGCAAGTTCCAGGACAGCTAGGGCTACATAGAGAAACCCTGTATTGGAAAAAAATGGCTTCAAAATGCCACGCTGTAATTATACAAACAAGGGTGGGAATGGGAAGCCAAGGATTGCACAAGGGTTCGTGAAAACCAGGAAGTTGGAAGGACAGCTCAAGGCAACTTTCAGGGGTAACTGTCAGCCTCACCCCAAGAGGCTAACTGCACAAGGCCAAGCAGGACTTTAGATGACAGTAAGGCTAAATGTGGAATGTAAGAAAGATGGATAGTAGTGAATATCTGTTGTCTCAGCACTTGGGTGGCTGAGGCAGAGAACTGCAAGATTTAGGACAGTCTAGGCTATGGAGCAAGTTCCTGTCTCAAAATGGGGGGAGATAAGCATGTGGGGCACACTTTTAATCCCAGAGCTCAGGAGGCAGAAGCAGGAGGATCTCTGTCAGTTTGAAGCTGTCCTGTCTACTTAAAGCAGGTAACAGGTGAGCCATGATTGCACAGAGGGTGCCTGCCTCAAAATAATAAATAAAAAGGAAGAAGAAAAAAGGGTTGGGAGACGACTAAGTCAGTAAAGACATGTTTGTAAAGTTTGGAGACCTGAGTTCAGACCCCCAGGACCTGCAAGAAGTTGTGATGCCATGTGTCTGTGAGCCCATGCTAAGGCAGAGAGCTTATTGGAGGATCCTGGAGCTTGCTGCTCACCCAGTCCAGCTAAATCAGTAAGCCCCAGATCCACTGAGAAACACAAAATAGTGATAGAGAACACCAGTGCTGAACCCTGGGCCCCATGCATGCACACCAACACTAAAGGTTTGGTGCAGTTCTGTGTCCTGGTCCTCCAGTGAGCATCCCCTCCAGCCTCTGTGAGGCCTTGACCACTTTGATTTCTGAGCCTGTGACCTGGTGCTCTGTTGTAGAGAGACCACAGACAAGTGCTCAGCTCCCTGCTGTCTGGAGCCCTGGCTGGTGCGCTTGCCAAGACAGCAGTAGCCCCTCTGGACCGAACCAAGATCATCTTCCAAGGTAAAGCCTGTGCATCTGCCCTTGTGCAATATGGAAGCGGCCAAGTGGTCACCTCCTCTTTCTCTCCACAGCCCCAAGTAACTTATACTTAGTCTCATACTGTACCCCAGACTGGCTTCATATTTACATTGTAGTCTAGGTTGGCCTTGAACTTAAAGCAATTCTTCTGCCTCAGCTTCCTAAGTGCTGGAATCACAGGCATTTGCTACCACACCCAGCCCCAGTCCCCATGTTCTTCAGAGGTACCCGGGCCACCTTCCTGCACCTTGAGTCTGCCACACCCACAAAGTCTTTGTTTCCAAACCTAGTCACCTTCCCAGGGACCTGGATGAGGCTATGGATGTAACTTTCAGGGACAGTCCAGAGCCCATGTTCCTCCCTGGGTACTAAACTGGGAGAGCCATCCAGGTCTGCGCAAGACTGAACCTCCTGCTAATAATGGTCAAATGATGTCAGCTCCCTCAGCTGTTGGGAGAGGGGCCACCACTGTTACTGTGCTTTGGTGGTGCTGGTTCCCTGGCTCGTCAGTAGATGGAGGGGATGGCTAAAGAAAGGAGCAAGCCCTTTGTTGTAACTGGCTTCAGACCCTGGCAGAGATTTCCCGCTGAGGGTAGGAGATGTTCTCAGGCTTTACATAAGGGCTGGGTGGGGGTGGCCAGCGGCCATAGTGGAGGCTCTCCTCAGCCTTGGGGCTCTATACTTCTGGATCTTTCCCACAAGTCCTTGTGGCATACACAGCTCAATGTCCTGCCCCATCTGGTGACTAAAGATGTGTGGTGCGGAATGAGGCAGGCCTGTGGGGCCATGGAGAGGCCAGCTAGTGCTGCTGTGCTGAGATGGGGGCGTGGACAACAGAGGGCACGCCAGGAGAGTCTTGGCCCTTGTTCTGAGAAGGCCCAGGTTCAGGGCTGGCAGCATGGCCAGAGAAGTGAGGTCCCTCCCAAGTGTACATCTCCAACACGCAAACTTCACAGCTTCTGTCCAAGACCCTAACCATTCCTAGGCTCCCTGTGCTGTCTCCATTACTGTTCCTGGGGCCTATACGAAGTTCCCCCACCGTACTGCATTTCCATTCATCACCCATACCAGCACCAAGGAAGGTCAGGTCCCAGAGCCCCATTGTGGGGGCTGCAGACCCAGGAGCCTGGCTGTTAGATTTCATGATCTCTTGTGCTTTTGTTTATTCCAGTGTCTTCAAAAAGATTCTCCGCCAAGGTGAGCTGCTGCAGGGTTAGGTGGAGCAGGTGGTCTGGGAGGGCAGGTTTCCAAGGACCCCAGCGTGCACAGATCATCCTAGCACACCTGTGGGTGTGACTTACCTTAGACAGCCCGTCCACTGGAACGTTTCTGAGAGCAGCACCGTCAGATCAGCAGCCATTCAGTGTGTGCCGGGCTCCCAGCCTTGCAACCCCCATTTCTGTTGGTCACCAGCGCCCAGCATTTGAGAGGGCCTGAAAGCGGGGTGCAGGGAGCCCAGATGATCACAGATTAGGCTAATTCTAGCTGGGCAGGCCTGGTGAGGGGTGCCACCACCCACTGTCTGCATTTGAGGGTGCTGCCCACAGAGTGTGCCCAGGGCTGGTGGTGGCCAAGAAGTGCTGACTCCCTGTCTTCTCCAGGAGGCCTTCCGGCTCCTCTACTTCACCTACCTCAATGAGGGCTTCCTCAGCCTATGGCGTGGGAACTCGGCCACCATGGTGCGAGTGATTCCATACGCCGCCATCCAGTTCAGCGCTCACGAGGAGTACAAGCGCATCCTGGGCCGTTACTATGGCTTCTGTGGAGAGTGAGGCCCCTGCCCACCAGGACTGCCCATCCTCACCGGGCCCCACCCATTTCCTCCCCGATTAGGCTCCCCAAGCTCTGCCCCTCACTAACTCCTCCTATAGGACCACAGCCCCCTCCCTCTTCCTTTATCCCACCCTCCATTCCTTCCCCTGTGCTATGTTCTCAACTCTCATTCCCTTCTCCCTCTGCCCAGATCTGATTCCCATGTAGCCCCAGTCTCGGGGAAGACACTCTGCACAGGGGAGGGAGAGAAGAGGTTGCATTTGACACTGGCCTAAGTGACCCCATAAACTCAGCCACTTGGAACCCTTCTGGGTCTTCTGTTCCTTGAAGAGGTATAGGCATCCCCTCTCCCTGCCTAGGCCTCAACTTGTTCTGCTTGTCCGCAGAGCCCTGCCTCCGTGGCCCCGCCTCCTGGCTGGCGCTCTTGCAGGAACTACGGCTGCTTCCCTCACTTACCCTCTGGACTTGGTCAGAGCAAGGATGGCTGTGACACCCAAGGAAATGTGAGTCTTGTCATGGGGTCCATGCTGGGTGCTGTCATCAGTAGAGGTGTGTGTGAGTGCTCACTGGGGATCCCTCCAATGAATGAGATTCTGCAGAGTTCCAGAAAGCATCATTTGTTCTCAAACAATACCTAAGGGTGACTGGCACACGCCTTTAATTCCAGCACTTGGGAAGCAGAGGCAGGCCGATCTCTGCGTCGAGGCCAGTCTGGTTAACAGAGTGAGTTCCAGGACAGTCAGGGCTACACAGAGAAATCCTGTCTCAGAAAAAACAAACAAACAAACCAGGATTGGGCCTGGAGAGGTGGCTGAGTGAAGAACACTGTTTGCTGTTGCAGAGACCTGTGTTCAATACCCAGCACCTGTGTGGTGGCTTTGGAGCCTGTCCTGGAACTAGCTCTTGTAGACCAAGCTGGCCTCCAACTCACAGAGATCCACCTGCCTCTGCCTCCCGAGTGCTGGGATTAAAGGTGTGCACCACCACTGCCCAGTGTAACTCTAGTTTCAAGAGATTGGACACCCTCTTCTGTCTTCTTTCAGTATGTGCGCACACATACATACCACACACATGCACACACACACACACACACACACACACACACGATACATAGACATACATCCAGACAAAACACCCATAGACACTAAGAGAGACAGAGTCAAAGAGCCAGGTGTGTGTGTTGCCACATAAAATTTCAGCAGAAGCATAGGCAGACAGATCTCTGAGTTTGTGGCCAGCCTGGTCTACATAGATAACTCCAGGCTAGCCAGGCCTATATAATGAGGCCCTGTCTCAAAACAAAACAAACAGAAAAACCAGAGCTGGAGGGTTGAGCATCAAGGCAGAGATACGAGGGTTTCTGTGACTTTGAAACCAGCCTGGTCTACTTAGCAGCTCAGGGACTAGGACACTTGCCTGGTGTATGCACAGGGCATTGGTACCAGCCCTGTACCTGACAGAGCAGGTAGTGCCATCCCCATAGAGTTCCCTTACTCTTTTGAACAGGAGGAGGGAATGGGGTATAGGCCCTAAGCTCTGTAACATGGTCCCGGCAGGTACAGCAACATCTTTCATGTCTTCATCCGCATCTCGAGAGAGGAAGGGCTGAAGACCCTCTACTTCGGGTTCACACCCACTGTGCTGGGCGTCATTCCCTATGCGGGACTCAGCTTCTTTACCTACGAGTCGCTGAAGAGCCTGCACCGAGGTAAGGGAGGTGGAGTGAAGAAGTGGGGATTTCAGGGAGCTGTCCCTGTAGACCCCACCTATCCAGAGCGCAGGAGCTTGGATTGTAACCTTTAATGCATTCATTCATTTTTGTTCAGTTCTGTAGAAAGGGTCTCACTATGTAACCCAGGCTGGCCTCAAGTTCTCCTCGCATCCAAGCAAGACCTTAAATTCCTCCTCTTTCTCCTTCCCCCACTTCTCTAGCTCCAAAGGCACAGGCTGTCTCCTACACTCATATCATGAGGTGCTGGAGATAAAACCAAACCCCAGGGCCTCTTGCATTTAAGGGAAACACCCTGCAAACAGACAGCTCCAGCCCCCTCAGGCATTTTTGTTAAATAGTGAGTATCGGGGGAAGTTGAGGCCTCTCACTGGGATGATGGGTGGCACTCCTGAAATCGCTTCGAATCACTATGGGTGCCCCTGTGATCTGAGCATTCTGGAGAATGAGGCAGGATTGCTGCAGGAACTAGCAGGATTGATGCTAGCCTGTGCCACATAACAAAAAACTGTATAAAAAACTGAATTGGTTGGAAAGGTAGTGACCTATCTGTGGGGTGGCACGCTAGTACGTGGTCCTTGCGTCCCTTCTTTGTGGTGGTACAGTGTTTGTGTAGAGCCTTCACCTCCTCCCACAGCTTACCCGCGGCAGCAAGGCAGCCGCCTGGATGCGGAGATGCTGTGTGTGTTCAGCTGGCAACAGTGACAAGAGGAAAGTCTGCACATAGCACAAACACAGGATGTTAAACCCCCTTCATTTAGCTGAGTATGGTGGCTCAGGAGACTGAGGCAGGAGGATGGCATAAGATGGAGGACAGCCTGGACTACTCAGGGAGACTGTCACAGACCAGAAAGTGAACGATAGAACCTGTCCATCCAAGGTTACCTGAGCCTGTGCTCCAGCATCTGCAGGTGCTTGAGGATCCCTGGCTGCCATGATCTAAGACTCCGCAGCAGCGTGTTTGTCTCTTCCTTTCCTGCCGTGTGGGGCTGTGCTAGGCACTTGCTCTATGGAGCACTGCCCGTAGCCCCCAACAGGACACTAAGATAGAGACCACATTCTCCCAGCCGTCCCCACACATCTCTAGAGTCTCATTAGTTTACCGAAGTCAGGCTGACGTACGTCCTCCATGTAGGAGGATGCTGTCTGGGTAGCCCTGTACTCTGAAGGGTTCAAGTGTCTCTAGAGAATCTTGGGGTGCACCCCACAAATGAGGGGGCACTGGAAACTGCAGGATGCGGAGCTGTGCCCCATAGGTTAGGGAAAGTATTGTACATGTAGCCTGGATGACCTTGTAAGTCTCACTGTTGCAAAATGTGTCTTTTATTAGGCTGGGGTATGGCTCAGTTGCAGATTCTGATCTGGCATACATGAAATCCTGGGTTCCATTCCCTGTACCAAAACTAAGAAAGGGTGGTCAGGAAGTGGGGCCTTAGACTCTGCAAGTGTGGCACTCATGTGCCCTCTACCCTGCAGAGTACAGTGGCCGCCCGCAGCCCTACCCCTTTGAGCGCATGGTCTTCGGGGCTTGTGCTGGCCTTATCGGGCAGTCAGCCTCCTACCCTCTGGACGTGGTGCGGCGGCGCATGCAGACGGCAGGTGTCACAGGCCACCAGCGTGGGTCCATCCTGAATACACTGCGCTCCATTATCCGTGAGGAGGGTGCAGTGCGGGGCCTCTACAAGGGCCTGAGCATGAACTGGCTGAAGGGCCCAATTGCCGTGGGAATCAGCTTCACCACTTTCGACCTCATGCAGATCCTGCTGCGCCAGCTGCAGAGCTAGACCACACAACAGTGAATGGTGAGCTGGTGGATTGAGGGCATGCAGCTGTGCACTGGCAGCCCAGTAGTACCTTGAGGATGGGCAGGAGGGTGGGACCTGGCTTGGGGATGCAGGGCCCATAGCAAAGTGCTGGCCCTCAGGGTATGACATTGTGATGATGGATCTTGGTTGTGCCCCTTCCTTCAGCTCCTTGCTAGTGGCTGGTGAGTTTCTCAGGGGCATTACCCAAAGGTCCCTAAGGGGTCAGCTACACTTCCTGATCCCTTCTTCTGACCTGCTGCTTATTCTAGTGCCCACTGGCACACTGGGCTCAGAGCCCATCCGTTCTTGCTACAACCGTGCCTGGCCTGCAGATGTGACGGCCATTGCCTCAAAACCACATGCTAGAGGGTTGCGGCTTGCTTAGTGGTGGCTGTACCTGTGTCTCTCAGTCCTCTATCATTCTTGCTCACCGTCTTCTAGGTGACAGATAGCTGCCCTTGCCCACAAAACTTTCTCCCCAGAGCACTATACCCATCTTATTTCTGAGGGCTGCACCTGACCTTTGCCAACTATCTGGCTTGTAACCTTTCCAGGAGGCCCCATGGCCACCAGACAGGAGGGACAGGTACAGACCCCATTGGAAATGCCAATGTGGGTCTCCCTTACCTGGGATGTCTTCCAAAGCATGTCGCCTGGGCCATCAAATAGACCCAAGGCTCTTGTTTGCACAACACCCATGGAGATGGGGTGCAAACTCCTGAGACTGCCCAACCCTGAACTCTGGGTCTTCTGTGGGTCCCTGGTGCCCACTGAAGCTGTTATTCAGCCAGGCCAAATGAAGGCCCAAGATGGGCAGCTTGGCCTGTGTGAATGAGTGTAGAGGTGTCTTGGGCACCTAGGGACCACCAGCCAGCTTGTCTCAAGGAGAACTCTCCTGGGGTCCCCAGAGTGTCACAGGGACTTCATGCCTTTCTTGAGGTCTGGGGTTTTTGATTTGGGGTCTTTGAGACCGTGCCCCCCTAGAAGCCTTCAGTGTGCTGCCTGGTCTAGCTTCCAACTTGCAGCAGCCCTCCTGCCTCTAGAATCTAGTTTTCAGTGCATCCTGGCACACACAGAAATCCCTGTGCAGTCCAGCTCTGGCTCAGGTGAGCTGGGTGCTGGCTCCCTCCCACAGCTGGACGGCAGCCATCTCACTTTGGGGCTGAGTAGGGCGGCTTGACCCTCAGGCATTTTCAGTCTGGACAGCAGTCCTTCTCATTCCTGTATTTCTTACCTTGTGCCTGTGATGCTCAGCCATCTCCCCCTTCACAGATGGTGATGGGCCGTCCCCACCCTGTGGTGGCTGTGAGGGACCATTCCCATCCTCTTGTAAGTGTACTGTCCACTCTGTTACTTGCCTGGCCGCTACACTGAGATGGAGAGGACAGGTAGCACCGTGTGGGTGGGAGAGGTGAGGGGGTCACAGGTCCCTGCTCTGCTTTCCCATATACCCCCCAGTAGCTCTGGCCTGGGGGCTCTCAACCTCTGTGGCTGCCGTCTCCCATGGTCACTGTCCAGTCTGGAGTTCTATTTTGATGCCATGAAAACTTTGTTTATATATAATGTTTATATATTTTAAAGGTTTGTGCCAAAAGAGTATATTTAATAAAAATTTAAATAACTTTCACTTCTCACTTCTTCCAACTCTGGCCCCTCTCCTGAGAAGGGTCTGAGGCTATTTGGCACTCTTAAATATTTTGTGTATGGGTGCTTTGTCTACATGTATATCTGACTAAATGCCTGGTGTCTGAGACCAGAAGAGGACGTGAGATTCTCTGAGCTGGAGTTACAGATGGTCATGAGCTGCCATGTGGGTGCTGGGAACTGAACCTGGACCCCTTCCAAGAGCAGCCAGTGCTCTTAGACTGCTGAGCCATCTCTCCAGCCCCCTGGTTTTCCTTGTTAAGAGAGTTGAGGTTTCCAAGTATGTTGCCCAAGCACTCTGTGCATCTTTCTGCTTATAGATGCATGTGTGACACAGGATCCTGGGAATGTAAGTAATGGCCAAAGTTGGAGAACTGGACTGGGGTGTAACTCTATAGTAGAGCCCCAGTCTAGAATCCCAGGGATGGGCTGGGGAGTGGGTCTGGGATAGAGCACTTACTATCACACAAAAGATCCTGGGTTCCTTTGCCAGCACAATTAAAAAAAAAAAAGATTCAAGAATATAGTAACCACACAGCTGAATCTGCCAATAAAAAAATGCCTTGTATATTTATTTATATATCTGAGATAAATAATCCAGGCTGACTTCAACTTCTTGCAGCCTGCCTCTATTGTTATTGGCAACCATAGACATCAGCCACTGGAAAACAGCCCAGCCTCCGACCAGCCAAGTGCTGGGATGGGACCATCTGCGGTGTGTGCCCTCCGCTCTGAAGTCACTCTCAGGTCCTCCAGAGCAGAGCCTTGCTTTTTCAGGATTGTCTGCTTTTTGCACCCCTGCAGGGCATATCACCCTTTGCTTGCCCATCCTTGATGCCCATGGAACTTCCTCAAGTTCCTCCAGCTTTGTCAGTGCCAGTTTGGGAGCCTCTCCCAAGAGTCAGGAAACTCCAGATATGCCTTCAAGAAAATCCCGTGGGTTCATGGTACACACATATTAGTCATGTTTGCTGCAGTCATAAAGACCTGAGTTCAGGTCCCCAGAACCCACACAAGTGGGACAGAGCAACACAGGTGTAATCCCAGCACCACTCTGGCAGGGTGGGAGGTGGAAACCAGAGATCCTGTCTCAAAGCTAGAAGGCAAGTCCTACGTGCTAAGCTGTCCTCTGAGCCTCTCATAACGGCACTTGTAGGCCTGGACAACAGTCACATTCCATCTAACACAGGTGCCTTCTCTCCAGAGTGAGCCCTCAGGCGTGACAGCACTGGCTCCTGGCCATTGGCGGTGTTACTAGGCAGCACTACAGGAGGCCTCCATTTTTATTCTCAATATACATTTTCCGTATGTAGGAGGGCCACACAGCCCATGCATGTCTCATGAACACGTGCACATACAGTCACAGGAATGGGACAACGCTGAAGTTAGTGGTGACCCTCGGTCACCAGGGTCTTGAATACATGTCAGCAGTCACCTCACAGCTTCCAAGGCTGGTAACAGTTCTCTCTGACTTTCCTCTCCCCCTTGTTTTCTTGTTTTGGAGACATGATCTTGTTACTAGTCTAGGCTAATCCCCTTGCCTCAGCCTCCCCAGTGTGCTGGGAGGTGGGCATGGTGACTCGTCTCATTCCCTCCCAGTGATAGTGATAGACCCCAGGGACACGTGGATGCTGGGCCTGAGCTCTATCCCTAGCTTTCTGGCAATCTCGAACCTCCTCCGTCTTTCCACTCCTGCCTAGTACCACTCTCCTAAGCCCTTCTCACCACCCAAGTCTCCCCTGCTTATCTCCCTAGCCTCTGGCATATTTCTGTAAAAGTGGCCCACACCTTTTATTGAGAGCAGCCTCCCACTGACATCTTGTACACACATGCAGGCATGCACTCTTGCGTGTGTGCGCACACACACACACACACTTGAGGACCATGGCCTCCAGGTCCAGGGAAACCTGATTCAAGGAGTCCATGATCTAGGCACTGAGGTGCACACACAGGGGACAGATAGATCCAATCCTGTGAACTGGGGTCAGACGCCAGTGCCTAGTGAAATCACGCTAGGAAACTGCCAGGCGCTGGTGGAAATAGAGGCCAAAGAGGCTGGAGAGCAGCTGGCAGGCAGCAGTCCACCAGATGAGGTAGGCCAGCACACCACGGAGTAAGAGGGGCGTAAGCAGGCTGCCCAGGACCCCTGCGACTTGGGCCGCCGTCTGCTGGGCTTCATCCTCCGCTGGGTCCACAGAGATCAAAATGTCTGAAGACTGGCGTGGGGTCAGTGGGGTTGGAACAGGGCCCAGGGCCCAAGAGTAGCCGCCTGCACGAGAGGAAAGAAGGTGGAGACAGAACAGTGGGAGTCTAGCGGTGCTCATACTCTGCCCACTAGGTTATACCCCACTGATATTAGGGGGCCTCCATCCTCCCCAGTCTGCTGGCCCCATCCCGTCCCCACAGGAAAACTGTCTGTGGCCTTGACCAAAGGCTGCCCTCATTTTCTAAAGCTGTCCCCACCCTTACCAAGCCGCCTTACCGGCCTTGCTCAGATCCTACTACCAGCTTTTATCTGAAGGCCCCACCTTACCAGATCTGGCCCCAGCCTCTTTCCCCACCAGCCCCGCACCCAAGGTCTTGAGCAGCAGGGTACAGTGCAGAGTAAGGATGAGCGGCGTCAGGTACTGCAGGCTCACCACGGTCACATAGCAGTAGACCCGGACCACCTGGTGGGGAGGCAGTAGAGGCTGCAGAGGGGTTGATCTTCCCTGGGCAGGGACCCCACGACCGGGCCCCTTTAGCCCAGGAACTGTCCCACTCGGGGTGCATACCCGCTGTTGAATCTCGCGGGCCTCAATGCGGCCAGCCTCCTTGCGCAGCTGCTCCACTCGAGTCTTGGCCAGGCAAAGGTAGGCCTGCAGATGTGACCGGGTCACGACTAGCCGCAGCAGGCACAGCACCACCAGCACCCAGAGACGCAGGGAATCGAAGGCCCCTTCTGACGGCCTGCAACAAGAGCCAAGCAGGCAGGGATTTGGGGTGAGTCCTCCTTCCCTAGGCCACAATCTTTGCAGTTCATCCCCGGTCTCAGACACCCCAGGTCCCTCAGTGCCCCGCCCTGACACACGCACAGAGAAGAGGTCATGTTCCTCATGGGTGCCTGGTATAAGAAGTCACGAGCGATAGGCTTTGTCCAGAGCCACAGGGTGCACAGGGGCGACAGGAAGCTGGTGTGCAGGAGCAGCCTGGGAGGAGTACCACGGTGGGGCCAGTCTCCTGACCTCCAGTCTCTAATGCAACCCCCCACCGCACCCCGGGAGCTCCGCCTAACTGCAATAGTGGCCGGTCTGCAGACAGGGTCAGTGCGTCCTGGTGCGTCTGCGCCAGCCTCAGGCCTGGGAAAATGAGGAAGGCGCCCAGCAAGGAACCCAGCATCGCCAGACCAAGGCGGATGGCCAGCTTGGTCACCGGGAGTCTGAGAAGAGAAGGTCTCAGGGAATCCACGATTGGTAAGAATTCAGCCTGGGGAGGGTGTGATCCTCCCTCTACCTGTACCTCCCCTCAAGATCCAGTTCCCAGTACTCACGCCCAGTCCCAATCCTGTTTCTTCAGCACAGGTTCTAGGTTCTGGGCCATGCTGGCAAGACCTAGAGGAAGAAGATCAAGTGTGTGGATTGTTAAGGTTTCTAAGGCTGGCCAGCCTTCCAGCTCCCAGAAGCCACCCAGACCTGCTAGGTGGAACTCTCCAAGAAATAGAACCTAGGGCTGGGGAAATGGCTCAGAGAAGGCACTGGCTGCTCTTCTAGAATCCTGAGTTCAATTTCCAGCACCCACATGGTGGCTGGCAACCATCTGTGTAATGGCATCTGATTCCTTCTGGTGCGCATGAAGACAAAGCATTCATATATGTAAATAATTTTGGGGGGGGGGTCGAGACAGGGTTTATCTGTAGCTTTGGAGCCTGTCCTGGAATTAGCTCTTATAAACCAGGCTGGTCATGAACTCTCAAAGATCCGTCTGCCTCTGCCTCCCAAGTGCTGGGATTAAAGGTGTGCACCATCACCACCTGGCTAAAGAAATAAATCTTAAAAACAAACAAAAAACAATAAAAAACGGGCTGGAGAGCTGGCTTAGCAGTTAAGGGCACTTGCTGCTCTTTCACAGGACCCACAGAGTGGCTCACAGCGATTAACTCCGGTTCTGGGGGTCCAGTGCCCTCTTCTGGCCTTTGCAGGCACTTCACAATCCCGATACAGAGACACATGGCAAAGCACCCATACATATGGAATAAAAATAAACCTTTGAAAATAGTAATAACAGCTGGAAGGTAGTAGCACACACCTTTAATCCCAGCACTCAGGAGATGGATCTCTGTCAGTTGGAAGCCAGCCTGGTCTACAAGAGCTAGTTCCAGGACAGGCTTCAAAGCTACAGAGAAACACTGTCTCGAAAAAAACAAACAAAACAAAAAATTAGTAATGACATAAATCTTTTTTTAAAACCTGTGCATCGGTGTTTTGCCTGCATTAGGGTGTAGGGTCCCCTGGAATTAGAGTTACAGACAGGATGTGGGTGCTGGGGATTGAACCCAGGTCCTCTGGAAACAGAACAGCCAGTGCTCGTAACCACTGAGCTACCTTTCCAGACCCCAGCATGCAGGTGGCTGAGGTCAGAGGATCTCTGAGAGCTCAGTCAGCCAGAGCCATAGAGTGAGACCCAGTTTCAAAAGAGAAAAGAAACAGAAAGGGAACTCCAGCAGGGAGCACACCTACCTGGTTCCAGACCCAGCTCCAGGAGCTCCTCCCGCACCACCTGCACTAGCATGGCTAAGAGGAGGAAGAGGAGGGCGGAGGTGAGGCAGACTGCGCGCTCGCCACCATCTTTGGCACTGAAGTACAGTCGGGTCACCATGAGGAACACCTTGCTGGAGGTGGGGTTAAGAAAGCCAGGGACACACCAGGGCTCTCCTCAGACCCTCCACTCCGGGCAGAGACAACTCTGCAAGAACTGACTTTGGGCACTTGGAGTTTAAACTTGGGGTGTGGGATCAGGCGAGCTGGGGGTGCTGGTGTTCGGTTGGAGGTGGCCTAATGACCTATGAAACGATCAGATAGCATTATGGCAGCTGCAGCTAGGGGAGGAGGGGCAATGAAAATCCCACACAGGTGGCATTTGATGCTACAGAAAAGCCAGAAACCATTTCTTCCTTAGGGGGACTGTGCTGGGAATGGCACCCAGCCTCTCCTGGCTGGACCAAGGGGCCTCTCCGTGCATGCTCAGTCAAACCCACCATTCCTTATCCAGTCACCCATACATGTTTCTAGGCAATACTGTTTAAGAACAAGACACTCATTGCTTTCATGAGGCACCTTGAAATTCTCTTAAGGTGCGGCCCAGGTTAGCAGTCAGCTGTGAAATGTCCCCACAGACCCACATCCTAAACACTTGGTGATCCTCTGTGTTCTCACTTGGTCCCAGCATCCCTGGGCCTCTGCTCTCAATGTAGAAGGACAGGTCTTTCCCAGCTCCAAGCTGTCCTGGTGACATGCTCTTTTATGCAAAGAATATGCTAGAAGGTTTGGCTAAAAAGGTAGACCTGGTACCTTTAATCCCACACTCCAGAGGCAGAGGCAGGTGATCTGTGAGTTTGAGGTCAGCCTGGTCTACAGAGCTAGTTCCAGGACAGCCAGGACTACAGAAAAACCCTATCTCAAAAAATCAAAGAAACAAACAAAAAAAGATGAGCCAGCTCCCAGCAAACTGTCCCCCAGTTTCCATGATCCTATAGACCTGGAGGGGCAGAAACCCATCCAGTGGTCCAACCCAAGACCGTGCAATGACACAGCTGTCGCCCCAGCACTTGGGAGGGCGAGTCTGGAGTCTGAGGTCATGCCGGCCTGCATTCCTGTAACTCTGGGGCAGGTCTGAGGCACAGAGTGACACACAGACAACAGTCAGAGGGACAGGAGGCTCAGGCCTGAGTCCCGCTGGAGGAAGGATACAGACAAAAAGTCAGTGTGAGCAGGCACCAGAACACGGCAATGTTGGTCTCTTGGACTGGGCCCAGCACAAAATAGTAGACCTCCGTGAAGAGGAACACACCGACAGAGTACACCGCGAAGTCCACAAACCACTGGTATTCCAGAAAGAAGCGCAGGACTGCAGAGACAGAAGTCCAGCTGCCTACTCCAGGCTTGCCCGGCCCCACCTCACTTCACCCCAGGCAGGGTGACCCCAATAGCTGGGGTGAGGAGTAGGTGCTGGACCGGGCGTTACCTAGGGCATCCGCAGCAGTGAGGGGACAGGTCTCCAGATGGAAAGGGGCATCTCGAGGCACTGACAATGGCTTCTCGTCATGAAGGCTGTTTGCCCATCTGAGCAAATGAGGACAGTGAAAGGTAGAGCCCAGCAACCTCCTCTGGGCCTGCCAGAGAATGAGGCCAGTGCTGGCTTGGGAAGGATCTTCAGCTATATTAGGTGTGGGGGCAGCCTAGGCATAGGGCCGGCCCAGAGCAAACAGCCAGGAATCCAGCACCGCAGCAGGAGGCTTCTGCCCTCTGGCAGGAGTAAGGCCTGCCCCTGGGAAGGAGAGCATAGGAGAGCCTGAGCCCTGTGGAGTCAAATGGGGGTCACTCACCGGTCCTTCCTGCCTCGGTGCCTTGGTTTCCCTGCCAGCATCCGCAGTTCCTCCTCGGACGGGTGTATGTAGCGGAACAGACTGAGGATAAGAAAGAGTCAGGAAAGCTTGGCCTGGGGGCACGAGGCAAAGAACTCAAATTTGGTCTTGAGGACAGAGCTCTGGGCAGCAGTAGAGGTACAGCAGGGGGCAGTCCTGTGGGAAGGTGGCCCAGGGTGCCTGGGAGTGGCCATAGCCAGGGAATTCTGGGGACATGAGATGTGGGGACTAATCCTGCCACAGGGGGCTAGGAAACCCAGGATACCCTTAAATCTGTGAGCTTTTAGAGCCCAGCACCCCGGATGCAGAGGCAGGCCTGGAACGCAGATGCCTCTGGCCTCCCCAGGTATCTGCACTCCTGGGCACAACCCCACATGTGGAGACACACCTACACATAATTAAAAGTAGTTTCTAAAGAAGAAGAGAAGGAGGAACTGGGCAGGCTCTGCCCGCGGTCGGCGGGACAGGGTTTACTCACCTGCCATTACAGAGCAGCCAGCGGGCAAAGGAGCAGTGTGGGGCCAGTCTGTGCATGAGGGTGGCAGTGAACAGGGTCACCACCAGCTGCACTCCGAGGGCCGCCTGAGGAAGCAGCTCTAGTCAGAAAGTTCAAAGCTCCCTGGGTGAACGGGGAGGGCCGGCCTCGGGCCCTGTTGGCATCTCTCAGAAGGCAACTGGGATGATGCCAAAGTTCATTCTAGGGGTCCCAGACATCCCCACCCACCCTCAGATGACTGGGCCTGACTTCTGTTCCCACTGTCAGACCCCTGAACCCCTTTCCCTGTGTATTTTTGTTTGTTTGTGAGCCCTGGTTGTTCCTATGTAGCCAAGAACCTACAGAAATCTGCCTGCCTCTGGCTCCCCAGTGTTGGGATTAAAGACCAGAGCCACCACATCCAACTATTAAAGAATATTTCCTAGGCCGGCCTGGTCTACAGAGCAAGTTCCAGGACAGGCTCCACAGCTACAGCGAAACCCTGTCTGGAAACAAACAAATAAACAAATGTTTTTTAGCTCAGTGGTTGTGGCGCACACCTTTAATCCCAACACTCAGAGGCAGGCGGATCTCTGTGAGTTTGAGGTCAGCCTGGGGTACAGAGTGAATTCCAGGCCAGTCAAAACTACACAATAAGGCCCTTTCTAAATAACAATGTTTTCTGTGAAGACAGGGTTTCTCTGTGTAGTCCTGGCTGTCCTGGAACTCACTCACTGTGTAGACCAGGCTGGCCTCTGCCTCCCGAGTGGTGGGATTAGCGTGTGCCACTGTCACCATCCAATTAAAATTTTTTAAAATTCTATTTATTTTTATTTTTTGAGGGGGGAGGGTTTGAGACAGGGTTTCTCTGTAGCTTTGAAGCCTGTCCTGGAACTTGCTCTGTAGACCAGGCTGGCCTCAAACTCACAGAAATCCATCCGCCTTTCTCTGCCTCGTGAGTGCTGGGATTAAAAGCATGCTAATTCCAGTCCCAGGGAATCCTACAACCTTCTCCGGCCTCTAAGGACAGTAGATCCACACAGGGTGCACACAAATACTCCCATGCTTAATAAAATATCTTAAAAACAAAAGGAAAATCATGCATAGTGGCACATGCCTGTCATCCCAGCACTCCGGCGGCGGAGGCAGGAGAATCAGAAGTTCAAGAACACCCGAGACTACGAAGAAGTTGTAGTACAACTTGGGCTACATGAGACCCTGTCAGGAAGCAAACACGGCTGCAAACCCGGCTCCCTTCACTCCTAAGGAGTCCTGCACCACAGACTACACCCCACTTCGGTCGACCACCGGCCTCCGAGTCTTCGGGGTCCCTCTCAGCTCTGCCAGGCGGTCCTCCACCCACGCACTCTCTGTGCCCCCCTCCACACGGCTGAAGCCCACACTGCCCCCGGGAAAGATCCCACAGGGCCTGCTCACCATGTCCGCTCCCGAGCGCACCAACGCACGCGGCTGGAGGCGGGTAAGCGCCGCGGAACTTGGCCAATTAGAGACGGGATCCTGTTGACCGGCAGCCTGAGAAGCCGGTCATCGGGCTAAGAACGGGGAAGGTTTCGCAATGCCTGCCGGGAATTGTAGTTCTAACAGGTGCTTTTATGTCTGTTGTCTTTACATTTTTCTTCCTATCTTCTTTCTTTTGTTTTTCTTGACGTGTGTATTCGTGCATACGTGTGTGTGTGTGTGTGTGTGTGTGTGTGTGACAGTTCCTGTGTAATCCAACTCTCTATGTAGATTAGACTGGCCTGAACTAAGGCACACCACTATGTTGGAGCCCCCCTCCTTTTTTTGTTTTTAAATTTTTTTTAAAAGCGTCATAGCCGGCAATGGTGGTGCACTTTTAAATCCTAGCACTCAGGAGTCAGTGGCATTACCTTGAGTTCAAAGTCAACTTGATCTACAAAGCGAGTTCAAGTCCAGCATTACACTGAGAAACCTTATCTTGAAAAAACCAAAAATAAGTGCCCAGTGGTGGTGGCGCACGCCTTTAATCTCAGCGCTCAGGAGGCAGAGGCAGGAGGATCTCTTCCCACTACAAGAGCTATTTTCAGGACAGCCTCTAAAACTACAGCAAAACCCCGTCTCGAAAAACTGAAGAAAAAAGAAAGAAAGGAATAAGATTCATTTTATTGTTTTGTACATGTCTCTATTTGTGTGGGTCTGTGTTATGATTTTTTAAAAAATGCTGCAAGATCCCCGGCGGCAGTAGGCATCAGAAATGCTGTAGGTACCCAATGGTGGTAGCAGGCCGTGTGGCGGCAGGCAGCGGGCCCTGGGAGCAGCCAATCCCAGGCGGAGGGCTCGTCCCAGCGTGTGGGCAGGCGGAGGGTAAGAGGCACAGACACATCGTTCAGAATAGAATTGGATATTTATTAGTTGAATTATGAAATGGGAAGGAAAGAGGGGAGAAGAAGGGGAAAAGAGAGGGGAGAGAGAGAGAAAGGAAAGAGAAAAGAGAGGACAGAGAGAGGGAAGAGGTGGGGCGGGGGAAGGGAACAAGGAGAATCAAGATGGTGAGAGGAGGGGAGGGGCCTCAGGGAGTGGGCGTGGCTTGTCGCTTAAAGTGCCTAACAATCAAAACAGTACATGCTTGTGACTGCAGTGTCCTCGAAGTCCAGAGGAGAGGCTGGGCCCTTTGAACCTGAGGCTGTGAAGGCTGAGGAGAAGAGAGTGCTTGGAACTGGGTTTGGGGCCCCACCAAGAGCAGTGCTCACTCTTAACCAATTAACCAACTTTCTAGTGTTATGCAAAAATCTGCAAAGTTCCCCCAAAAGCCAACAAGAAGACCGAGTCCCATATGTAAAATCAAAGAGCCTTTATTTTGCAAGTTTGCAAACTCGCTCTCTCTGCATGTCCAATGTATTGGAATAAAACAGAGAGCCCCAAGCTCAGTTAGAATTGGGTTTTTATAGTAGTAAAGGTGGGGGTGAGGGGTTTCTGAGATTCAGGACCCCTGATTGGCTGACATTTGTCTAGGGGTGTCCTTGTGAGTGTGTGCTGGCAGGTAGTCCTATCTACAGCGGTTGGAATGTTAGGCATTTCTTTTGGATGGTCTATTGGGTGGTGCTCAGGTAATCTCAGTTTGTGGTTCTTCCTGCAGCCAAGTAAACTATTGAGACTCAGGCCTCTATTAAATTTATCAATGGCTGAGTCCTACTCTGATGGATGATTATGGTGGGAAATAAAGAACTTCCTTTGGGTGATCTGTTCATATTTAGATTATCATGGCTGGCTCCTTCACCTAGCTCCAGTTTTATTTTGGTTGGGGGTGGGGTGCTTTTTATTTTTTTATTTTTTTATGTTTTTTGAAACAATATTTTGCTGTGGGACAATGTTTTACCCTGTAAACATTTGTTTCTTGTACTTGTTTAATAAAATGCTGATTGGCCTGTCTCCAGGCAGGAAGTATAGGTGGAACAATGAGAACAGGAGAATTCTGGGAAGAGGATTCTGCAGTCTGCAGTCGTAACCCAGACACAGAGGGAGTAAGATGTGACTGCCTCACCAAAAAAGGTACTGTTATGCCCAAATCTACACAGTCCCCGCAAAAGCCAACAAGGAAACCGAGTCCCATATGTAAAAACAAGGTATTTTAATCAAGTTTGCAAAATCGGTCTCTCTGCATGTCCAATGTATTGGTGTAATGGATTAATTAAAAATGCTGCAGATCCCTGGCAGCTGCAGTGGCAGAAACACTGCGGGTCCCCAAGTGGGGGCAGGCAGTGGGCCCCAGAGCAGCCAGTCCCAGGCAGGGATGGTGCACGAACCACACCATAGGTCTCCAAAGGCAGCTGGTCCCGGGCAGCGAGCTAGAGACAGAGACATGGATAGGGACACCATGCAGAGTGAGGTTGGATATTTATTCAGTGGATTATGGAGGGGAAAGTAAGAAGGGGAGAAGAGCAGAGAGAGAGAAGAGATAGAAAGAAGCTGTCTCTTTGAGAGGGAGACAGAAAAGAAGAGACTCAGGCTGCAAGCAGGAAGATCTGCCTGCCTCAGCAGATAGGGAGGGGGGATTAGGCATGGCTTGTCTCTTAAAGGGACAGAACAGATCATTACATTCCCATCTCTTCTTTATAATAAAAAGGCAGGAGGTTAGGTACCACAGGTTAAGGGAATTGGAGTGGCAGATTCTCAAGACTGCTTCCTGCTTTTTTGGGGCATTGTCTTTGGGGCAGGTGGGAGGAACCTGAGAAAGTTGGGTGCTGCTCACATTCTGGGGTAGCTGGTCTCTTTGTTCCTGTTCAGCGTTTGTGGTATGAAAATGTCTGGTGTCTCTTACACCTGTTTAAGGTATTCGCAAAACAGAGAACAAAGTTAAGTTTAAGAAAAAAAAATTAGGACCAGGGAATTGAGGGAGTATATCTGACCTGTTTAAGGTGGATCCTTTAATTTGGCTCCCTGGAACTCACAAGAGTTTTTTTGAGTTTGTGAAAACAGAAGTTTTAGACATATACATTGTATAAACAGAATTTTCTAAATGCTAATGAAAAAGGAACAACAGCTGTGGAAAGACATTGGATAGTAGGAAAAAACTACAGAATTAAATCTGATATACTTTAAAGATTGCACTGACTCAGAACGGAAGCCAAGACATGTGCTACATTGGGGAAGGGGTTTTGATTTTGTTTCCAAAGGAAAAGAAAAACTATAGATACCACAAAAATCGATAAAGATTTGATTTGAAAATGAGACAGCTCTTTTTTAAATTGATATTTATTAAGCTCTACATTTTTCTCTGCTCCCTTCCCTGCCTCTCCTCCCTCTCTCTTCAATTCTCCCCCAAGGTCTCCATGCTCCCAATTTTCTCAGGAGATCTTGTCTTTTTCTACTTTCTACTTCCCATGTAGATTAGATCTATGTAAGTCTCTCTTAGTGTCCGCATTGTTGTCTAAGTTCTCTGGATTGTGGTTTGTTAAGATGGCTTTCTTTGCTTTATGTTTAATAACCACCTATGAGTGAGTACATGTAATAATTGTCTTTCTGTGTCTGGGTTGCTGAAAGACTTTGGGGTGCCTTAACACTACTACACCCCCCTCCTTGTGAACCAAGACCCGGGTAATTAACCACACGTGTATTGGGGCTTTGCGTACTTTCCATCCCCATTGTAATCTTTCTTCTATAGACCCAGGCCCTGGAACTGGGGTGAGACGACCCACAGATGTTCCTAATCACCACAGCATTGATTAATTAGAGTTAGCCAACTGTTAAATGAACTAGTCAAAATGGTTGACAAACGATTTCTGGACTTTCCCTTTGATTCTGTGTTCTGTACCACCCTGTACCCTGTACCACCCCCTCCCTAATTCTGTGATTTTTCCTTTAAAAGAACCTGTAGTAGACAAAGCCAGGGTTCTTCTTCTCTCGAGGCTGAGGGACCTCTGCCGTGGCAGAATAAAAATTCCTCTTGCTATTGCATCAACTGTGCTGAGAGTGTCTCTTGGGGCGACCTCCTCCTTGGTGGGGCTTTAGGGCCCAACATTTGGTGCGTTGGCTGGGAAGTGCTGGTCGCCCTCAAGACCCATTCCTGACCCAGTTGGAGGTAAGAGTGCGCTCATCTGAATGTTTCATGTTTGTCTGTTTCTGTTATTGTGGTTTATGTCTATGATTGTCAGCAATTTGGAGAATTGTACCTGCGTAGGGCTAGAATTTGAGAGGGACCAGGCAGTGGGACAGACATGTCCAGGAACACTCCCTGGCCCAGCCGTGGAGGACGCTTCACAGGCAATTTGTAAAAACTGGGAGCGACTAGGTCGCCTTGGTTTCCAAGGAGTGTGGCTTTTATCGCCCACTCCCCTCCAGGTTTGTGATATCAGTTTTACATCAGTCTGTCGCCGCACGGCTTTCGGTTTTGAGTTTGTGTCTGTTATTTTGTATTGTTGTTTTGTTGTGTCTGTTATTTTGTATTGTTGTTTTTGTTTTTGTGTTCGTTTTTGAGTTGAAATCTAGTACAATGGGACAACGGATAACTACCCCCTTAGCTTTGACTTTAGACCACTGGAAAGAGGTTGAGGACAGAGCTCGCAACCAGTCTGTGGTAATCCGAAAGAAACGCTGGCAAGCGTTCTGTTCCGTGGAATGGCCCACTTTTGAAGTGGGCTGGCCACAGGATGGAACATTTAACCTGGATACTATTTTGCAGGTTAAGACGAGAATCTTTCAGCCTGGTCAGCAGGGCCGTCCTGATCAAGTTCCTTACATCGTAACTTGGGAGAGCTTGTCCAGAGACCCTCCACTTTGGGTCAAACCATTTGTCCCGCCTTCAGGAGCCCGAAACCCAGTACCGGCTACCTGGCTATCCGTCACCCCTTTGACTCTGAGGACGGTGGCAGCCCCAACCGCCCCTCCCTCGGATTCTTTGTCCTCTCTCTTCCCCGTGCAGGAGCGACCGAGACAGAAGTCCCAGGCACCGCCAATTATCTCTGACAACCAGTCCGACCTCCTGCTTTTTGACCCTCCTCCTCCCTATCCCCAACCTCCTCAGCCCCAGGCCGAGGCACCCTCCCTTGCGCCTGTTCCTGAGGAGCCTGCTGAACCTGTTATGGATCCTGACAGGCCCCCTAGCCCTGACATGACTGAGACTGCTGGAGGGGGGCCTAACTCACAGCCGCAGGCTGAGAGAGGGGGGGCATCTGCAAGGGAAAGGTGGACTTCCCATGCGCTCCCCTCCGCTCAATGGCTGATCAATTTCAATACTGGCCTTTTTCAGCCTCTGATCTTTATAACTGGAAACTTCATAACCCTTCCTTTTCCCAGGACCCCCAAGCCTTGACTGCCTTATAGAATCTGTTTTGATTACTTATCAGCCCACATGGGACAATTGTCACCAGTTGTTGCAGATACTCCTCACTACAGAGGAAAAACAGCGCATTTTTCTTAAAGCTCGTAAAAATGTCCTAGGAGCTGATGGAAGGCCAACTCAGTTGCCAAATGAGATAGACAATGCCTTCCCTTTGACCCGACCCAATTGGGATTTCAACACTCTAGCTGGTAGGGAGCGACTTCGTCTCTACCATCAGATTCTATTAGCGGGTCTCCGAGGGGCTGGCAGATGCCCCACTAATTTGGCTAAGGTAAGAGCAATAGTACAGGGGCCTGAGGAAACACCTGCAGGATTTTTAGAAAGGCTATTGGAGGGGTACAGAATGTACACCCCTTTTGATCCCATGGCAGCAGATCGACAGGCTGATATAATAATGTCTTTTATAAGCCAGTCAGCACCTGACATTCGTAGCAAGCTGCAGAGGATGGAGGGACTGCAGGGTTACTCTCTCCAAGATTTAGTAAAGGAGGCAGAAAGAATTTTTAACAAGAGAGAGACACCAGAGGAAAAGGAAGAAAGAAGACGCAAAGAACAGGAAGAGAGAGATAAAAAGCATAATTGTGAGTTAAGTAAGATCTTGGCCACAACAGTACGCAGTGTAGAACAGCCCAAGAAGCTCCAGGACAAGGATAGGGGAGACAAAAGGTGGCCACGAGTCGACCGAGATCAGTGTGCCTACTGCAAAGAGAGAGGACATTGGATCAAGGACTGCCCAAAACGTCCAGTTGAACCCAAGAAAAAGCCAGTTCCTGTCCTGAGCCTGGAAGACAGTGATTAGGATGGCCAGGGCTCAGAGCCCCCCCCCCCCGAGCCCCGGGTAACCCTTCTAGTGGGGGGGCACCCTACCACCTTTTTGGTAGACACTGGAGCCCAACATTCGGTCCTCACCCAAGCAAACGGACCTTTGAGCTCAAAAACCTCTTGGGTTCAGGGGCCACTGGAGGAAAGATATATCGATGGACCACAGAAAGTAAAGTTAATTTAAACACCGGCCAGGTAACCCATTCTTTTCTCATGGTACCGGAATGCCCCTACCCACTGCTGGGCAGGGACCTCCTGTCCAAAGTTGGGGCACAAATTTACTTCTCAGAAAATGGGGCCTCAGTCACTGACAAAACCGGCCAGACTCTTCAAATTCTAACTTTAAAGTTACAGGATGAACATAGGCTGTTTGAACTGTCTCCTCCCTTGGAGCTGCCTGTCAAGGACGAATGGCCCTGAGACTTCCCCCAAGCCTGGGCAGAAACCGCAGGTATGGGGCTGGCAAGCAACCAGCCTCCCTTGGTAATAGAGCTAAAACCATCGGCCACTCCAGTTTCCATAGGACAGTATCCCATGAGCCGTGAGGCCCGAGAAGGAATTAGGCCCCACATTCAGAGACTTTTAACATTGGGCATCTTAAAGGCCTGCCATTCCCCCTGGAACACACCTCTTCTCCCAGTGAAGAAGCCAGGCACAGGGGACTACAGACCAGTCCAAGAGTTAAGGGAAGTTAATCGCTGCACTCTAGACATTCATCCTACGGTGCCCAACCCTTATAATCTTTTAAGTACCTTGCCTCCGACCCATATATGGTACTCAGTACTTGATTTAAAAGATGCTTTTTTCTGTCTGAGACTCAGCCCTCAGAGCCAGCCATTGTTTGCCTTTGAATGGAAGGATCCTGACTCGGGAGTTTTTGGGCAGCTCACCTGGATGAGACTACCCCAAGGATTCAAGAATTCGCCAATTTTATTCAATGAGGCCCTGCACCAGGATCTGGCCAGCTTTGCACCACCATCCAGAGGTAATCCTACTCCAATATGTGGATGACCTCCTGCTGGCCGCGGAGACTGAGCAGGAATGCCTCACAGGGACTCGAGCCCTGCTCACCAGATTAGGTGAACTGGGCTACAGGGCATCTGCTAAAAAGGCACAGATCTGCAAGAAGCAAGTAGCCTACCTGGGGTATCTCTTGGAGGGTGGACAGAGATGGTTAACAGACAGCTGGAAACAGGCCGTGGCACAAATTCCCCCTCCCAGAGGGGCAGAAGTCTGAGAGTTTCTAGGAACTGCCGGTTTCTGTAGGTTATGGATACCGGGTTTTGCTGAACTGGCAGCCCCTCTGTATCCACTTACCAAAGCCAACGTTCCTTTCTCCTGGGGAGAGGACCAACAGTGGGCTTTTGACAAAATAAAAAGAGCCCTCCTTTCGGCCCCTGCTTTAAGTCTCCCTGATGTCACCAAATCATTCACCTTGTATGTAGATGAGAACAAGAGGGTAGCAAAAGGGGTGCTGACTCAGAGACTGGGACCCTGGAAAAAGCCAGTGGCCTACATCTCCAAAAAGATGGACAATATGGTGACAGGATGGCCACCTTGCCTCTGTATGGTAGCAGCTGTAGCTACCCTAGTTAAAGATGCAGATAAATTGACTCTGGGCCAACCACTGACTATAATAGCACCTCATACTTTGGAGACTGTAATTTGTCAACCCCCTGATAGATGGCTCTCGAATGCCCACATAACCCACTACCAGTCGCTATTGCTCAACCCCGAACGTATCACCTTTGGGAATGCAACGTTGCTGAATCCCGCCACCTTGCTCCCCAATTCGGAACCCACTGTCTGGATGCCTCATGATTGCCACCAGATATTGGCAGAATACCATGGAACCAGGGAAGATTTGACTGATTGCCAGCTTCCTGATGCGGATTATACCTGGTTCACAGATGGTAGCAGCTTCTTCAAAGAAGGTGAGCGAAAGGCGGGGGCGGCGGTGGTGGATGGACAGAACACCATATGGGCACGGGCATTGCCCCCAGGAACCTCTGCTCAAAAGGCAGAATTAATAACCCTTACTAAGGCTTTGGAGCTAGCAAAAGGACAAAAAATAAGCATATATACAGATAGCCGTTATGCCTTTGCAACGGCCCACGTCCATGGGGAAATTTATAGAAGAAGAGGACTGTTAACTTCTGCTGGAAAAAAATATTAAAAATAAGACTGAAATCCTGGCATTATTAAGGGCCCTTTTCCTACCCAAGAAGGTGAGCATTATTCATTGCCCAGGACATCAGAAGGGTGATGATCCCATTGCCAGAGGAAATCAGATGGCAGATGAGATGGCTAAAAAGGCCGCACTTAACTCAGAAATATTACCCCTGGCAGAGGCACTACCCCCCACAGAAGATTGTCTCCAATATTCAACCCAAGACTATTCAGAAACTTAATGCAGACTTTGATGAACAACAAAAGACTTGGAAATATCAGGGCAAAACTGTGTTACCCAAGAAAGAGGCCTTTGAGTTGGTCACTCAAATGCATCGATGCACTCATTTAGGACACAAAAAGATTAAATCTCTTATGGAAAAGACAGATTTTTATATTCCAGGTCTTAACTCCCTCATACAGCAAGTGACAGCAACCTGTGTTCCCTGCGCCAAGGTAAACGCAAAACGTCAAAGTGCCCCGGAGGGCATAAGAATAAGGGGAGACAGACCTGGTACTCATTGGGAAGTAGACTTTACTGAAATAAAATCAGGAAAATATGGTAATAAATATCTCCTAGTTTTTATTGATACCTTCTCTGGTTGGACAGAAGCTTTTCCCACCAGATGAGAAACAGCTCAAATGGTGATAAAGAAGATACTAGAAGATATTTTTCCTCGGTTTGGCCTGCCCAAGGTAATCAGGTCCGACAATGGCCTAGCCTTTGTCTCCCAGGTAAGTTAGGGTGTGGCCAAGACACTGGGGATTAATTGGAAATTACATTGTGCATACAAACCCCAGAGTTCAGGACAGGTAAAAAGGATAAATAAAACCATAAAGGAGACTTTAACTAAATTGTCTTTGGAATCTGACGCTAGAGACTGGGTACAACTTCTTCCCCTAGCCCTGTTCCAGGTGCGAAACACCCCAACTCGGCTTGGACTTACCCCCTATGAGATCCTATATGGGGGGCCTCCCCCATTGGCCTCTTTTGGGGCTCCTCCTGACCCTGCTACTCACAAATCCGATTTGCAGGCGCAGTTAAAAGCACTTCAGATCATCCAGGCCCAGGTGTGGAGGCCCTTGGCTGCTGCCTACCAGCCTGGCCATCCGGAGATCTCGCACCCGTTCCAGGTTGGCGATTCTTTGTACGTTCGGAGACACCGGTCCCAAAACCTTGAACCTTGCTGGAAGGGATCCTACACCGTGCTTCTTATGACATCTACGGCCCTCAAAGTGGACGGTATTGCGGCCTGGATCCACGCATCTCACGCCAAGCCAGCACCTACACAGGATGACCCAGGACATTCCAAATGGAAGCTCCAGCGTACCCAAAATCCTCTAAAACTGAGATTAGTCAAGGAGGACTGATACTACCAGGCTTGTTGATCTTTGCACTGATGTTTCCTTCCACATATAGTGCTAAAAACCCCCATACACCTCAGGACTTAACCTGGACTCTGACTAACTTTGAGACTGGGCAAGTCCTAGAGCTAGCCACTGGAGTTCATCCCCTGGATACCTGGTTCTTTCAGCTAACTTTTGACCTGTGTGTTTTAGCAAAAGACTCTTGGAAGGACACTAAATGCACCCCCGAGAACTCTTACCCTGAATGCAGATATTCTGAATGGTATATTTGTCCAGGGTGAAAACGAACCTGGCGGGGGGGCAGGGGGGTGCTGAAGTATTTTATTGTGCTACCTGGGGTTGTAAAACTAGTGTCAGTGTCTCCTGGTTGGGAAATAACAAAGGGGACTTAGTTTCTTTCACTCGTACCACACTAGGGAATCTGACATCACAATCATCTTCACTGAGAAAAAAAAAAAAGAGTTAATTGGTTAACAGGCAATACTTGGGGTTTACGGCTATATAATCCAGGAAGGGAAGACATAGGGATTCTGTTTACCTTGAGAGTTGTTTAACACCCCCCATGGCTGCAGCACTAGGACCCAGCCCGGTATTGTCTGAGCAGGGCCAGCAGGCCCTTGCTGAGGTAGCCCCCCCTTGTCGAGGCCCAGGGTCCCACTTCAAGTCATACATATCCCTCCTTAGTCACCCGTGCTTCACTGCCGGTGTTCTCAAATACGGCCCAGCGACTGTTTAATCTAATAACGGGAGCCTTTTCCTTGCTGAACAATACTGACCCCAACATAACACAATCTTGCTGGCTATGCCTATCAGCAGGACCCCCATATTATGAAGGGATTACAACATCCGGGGGTTTCAACAACACGACTAGCCAGGCTGGCTGTGCTTGGGGCGCCAGTCATAAACTAACTCTTACAGAGGTGACTGGTGCAGGGACATGTTTGGGAAATCCACCAGATTCTTAGAAACATTTATGCAATGAAACCCTTAAGAGCCCTAAAACTTCTAAAACTAGATCCCTTACCCCTGGTTCAGACCAATGGTGGGCTTGTAGCACAGGCCTGACACCTTGCATGGCAGCTTCAGTCTTTGATGGCACCAAAGATTACTGTGTGCTCGTTCAACTGGTGCCATGGGTCTTCTATTATCCCGCTAACACATTTGAGGATGAACTTGACAGACACCTGAGCTGTTATTGGTGAGAGCCCATCTCCCTGACCCTAGCAGCGACCTTGGGCCTTGGGGTGGCAGCCGGTGTCGGCACTGGTTCTACTGTTCTGGTGCAGAGTTCCAAAATCCCCAGCATTCTGCAGAATTAAGAGCGGCTATTGATCAGGACTTAAGGACCCTAGAACAATCTGTCACAAAGCTTGCAGAGTCGATAACCTCACTTTCTGAAGTAGTGTTACAAAATAAGCGTGGGTTAGACTTGCTATTTCTTCAAGAAGGAGGACTCTGCACTGCCCTGAAGGAATAATGTTGTTTCTACGTAGATCACTCTGGGGTAATTAAAGATTCAATGGCTAAGCTCAGAGACAGGTTAGACAAGAGACAGAAAGACAGAGAGGCACAACAAGGTTGGTTTGAAGGCTGGTTTAATCGCTCCCCCGGTTCACGACACTCATCTCCACCATCACTGGTCCCTTGATCATTCTATTACTTATCCTGACCTTTGGGCCCTGTATCCTCAATCGACTCCTGATGTTCATCCGCGAGCAACTTAGCATTACTCAAGCTTTGGTGTTGACCCAGCAATATCATACCCTTAAGGATAATCCATGAGAATCTCAGGATTGAGATTCGACCAAATCAAAGGGGGGAAATGAAAGACCTTGGGGTGCCTTAACACTACTACACCCCCCTCCTTGTGAACCAAGACCCAGGTAACTAACCACGCGTGTATTGGGGCTTTGCGTACTTTCCATCCCCATTGTAATCTTTCTTCTATAGACCCAGGCCCTGGAACTGGGGTGAGACGACCCACAGATGTTCCTAATCACCACAGCATTGATTAATTAGAGTTAGCCAACTGTTAAATGAACTAGTCAAAATGGTTGACAAACGATTTCTGGACTTTCCCTTTGATTCTGTGTTCTGTACCACCCTGTACCCTGTACCACCCCCTCCCTAATTCTGTGATTTTTCCTTTAAAAGAACCTGTAGTAGACAAAGCCAGGGTCCTTCTCCTCTCGAGGCTGAGGGACCTCTGCCGTGGCAGAATAAAAATTCCTCTTGCTATTACATCAACCGTGCTGAGAGTGTCTCTTGGGGTGACCTCCTCCTTGGTGGGGCTTTAGGGCCCAACATTACCTCACTCAAAATAATGTTTTCTAGCTCCATCCATTTTCCTGCAAAATTCAAGCTGTCATTTCTTTCTGCTCTGTTGTAGAGAGCTGCGTGATGCCACACCTTACAGGTGGCGCTGATTCCCGCCTTCCATCTTTCCAACGGTGAGTTGTTCAGGTGTGAACAACTCCATATATGGCTAACGCTAAGAATCTGGCTTGCTTCTGCGTTTCTGGACCTATCTGCGTTTCCCTCATGGCTTGCTGGGGTTGGCTATCCAGAGGTTATTTAAACTGTAAGCTGGCTTTGCCCCGGGGCAAGAGGGTGAAAAGATGATTCAAAGGTCCTGAATAAAACCGCAGTGAGAAGAGTCCAGTGTTGCATCTTCCTTGCTGGTGAGGCAGGCATGACACTCTGTAGTACTCCATTGTGTAAATGTGCCACATTTTTCTTATCTATTTTTCGTTCGAGGGGTATTTAGATTGTTTCCAGGTTCTGGCTATGACAAACAATGATGCTATGTACATAGTTGAGCACATGTCCTTGTGGCACAATTGAACATCCTATGAATATATACCCAAAAGTGGGTCTTGAGGAAGGTTGTTTCCTAATTTTCTGAGAAATCGCCACACTGACATCCAAAGGGGTTGAACCAGCTTACATTTCCACCAGCAATGCAGAAGTGTTCCCTTTTCCCCACAACCTCTCCAGCATAAGTTGTCATCAGTGTTTTTGATCTTGGCCATTCTTTCAGGTGTAAGATGGAGTCTCAGAGTTGTTTTGATTTGCATTTCTCTGATGACTAAGGCTGTTGAACATTTCCTTAAGTGTCTTTCAGCCATTTTAGATTCCTCTGTTGAGAGTTCTCTGTTTAGGTCTGTACTCCGTTTTTTTTATTGGATTATGTGACCTTTTGGTATCCAATTTCGTGAGTTCTTTGTATATTTTGGAGATCGGACCTCTATCTGATGTGGGGTTAGTAAAGATCTTTTCCCATTCTGTAGGTTGTCGTTTTGTCTTGTTGACCATGTCCTTTGCTTTACAGAAGCTTTTCAGTTTCAGGAGGTCCCATTTATTAATTGTTTCTCTCAGTGTCTGTGCTGCTGGGGTTCTATTTAGGAAATGGTTCCCTGTGCCAGTGCATTCAAGTGTACTTCCCACTTTCTCTTCTGTAAGGTTCAGTGTGGGGCTGGAGAGATGGCTCAGAGGTTAATAGCATTGCCTGATCTTCCAAAGGTCCTGAGTTCAATTCCCAGCAACCACATGGTGGTTCACAACCATCTGTAATGAGGTCTGGTGCCCTCTTCTGGCCTGCAGACATATACACAGACAGAATACTGTATACATAATAAATAAATATTAAAAAAAGATTCAGTGTGTCTGGCTTTATGCTGAGGTCTTTGATCCATTTGGACTTGAGTTTTGTGCATGGTGATAGATATGGGTCTATTTTCATTCTTCTACATGTTGATATCCAGTATGCCAGCACTACTTGTTAAATATGCTTTCTTTTTTCCATTTGATATTTTTTGCTTCTTTATCCAAGATCAGGTGTTTTAAGATGTGTAGATTGATATCTGGGTCTTTTATATGGTTCCAACACTATACATTTCTACCTCTGATCAAAATATTTATATATTGTTTATATTGTCCTCATTTGCTGCACAGTTGTTTAAAGATTGTTTAATATTCCAATTTGAAGTCTTAGTCTTTAAGCTCTATAGGTATTAAGAATTATAGGTCAATAGTCATCCATGATTGTCATACTTATAGTTAGACTAATCAAGTTCTTTAGATACATAGAGATTGTATTCTGTGTAGATAAGTAATCTTCAACCACTTCAAAGAACTGTAGAATATGACATTTAAATAACTTAGGGTTCTGTTGTCTTGAGACATGATTGATCCTGGCAGCACCAATCTATTCTCAAGAGAATGTTGGGCACCGAAGACATTCCACTTGGAGCTTGTTTTTTTTTTTTTTTGGCAAAACTGGCCTTTGGGCAAGGAACTTCCAAGTCTTGACCACTGACAAAATGCATGGTGTCCAGACAGGACAAGCAGGATACAAGCAAAAAGACTGCCAAATCTTGCCAAGACAGTTTAAAAAAATTTCCTGCCTCTGAAATTGGTCTGAAATTGAAATACGCTAGGCCTTAGACAAAGTTAGTTGCTCCAATGTTGCAAATGAGACTTTGGGTGATTGTCCAGGTAGCCAGCTGTCTCTGTCATTTGTTGCACATTTTGAAGTTGCTTGATTGCACTTCCTGCTTACTCAAGTAATATTATTTTCCTTCTTGGATTTTTGATGGGGTTAAAGACTAGATAATTGTAGTTACTTTCCTCTTATGACTTAGTCAAGCCATTTCTAATACAGGACTTAGATGCCTTAGAATAGAATAATTATTAAAACATTTAGCATATGTTTCTTGCTTAATATTGTTTATATTGGTTATGTTTCTAATTTTTATATTTGGTATCTGTTCTTATTGTATATAGTTTTGTATTGTGTTTGGAACTCTCTTATTTTGACAAAAGTGGGAAGTGTTGGGGAACCTCCTTCAGCCAATGGCCTTTGAGAGACTAGACCAAGTTGGGCATGGCCTTGGGTACCAAAAAGGTGTGTGCTCGCATGCCCATGCTCTCTCTCTTTCCTCTCTAGCCTGGATTCTGGGTTCGGTTCCTGTTTTCCATTCGTGCAGAGGACTGTGATCTGTGAGTCCCTCCTAAATAAAGAACCCTTTATTATACGAAATTCTGAGTTACTGTGGGATTACTTTGTTTGTGTTTTCCTACAATACAATACCTTGAACAAGATTACTGAACACATGTACAGTCTGTTTGAATAAAATTAATCTCAAATTTGTATCAATATAAAATTTGTATACAATATATAAAAATTCAATCCCATGTAAAATATTTAAAACTAGTAGTTGCTTTCCAAAAGTAGAGTCCATAATCCACCTTTTTATTTTATCTAGATCCTCCCTTTTTCTTTTCAAAGTTGATTCTACCTTTTTATCCTATCATATTTGCATCCCCCTTATTTCTTTTCAAAACAAGAACTCTGAATCTAATCTCCTTTGTTCAACTTTGCTCCTGACCATAACCAATAATGACTTGTAACCAACCCCTCTAAACAATGACAAATATTCGTAACCCATTGAGTGACCAAAAACTACCCACCCTGCCTCTTGGGAATTCAGGCATTGTATTCTTAAATTTACTTCCTGTTGTCTTGGGGGTGGCATCTTTAGGAGTTCCTGAAAAGAAATTTTTTGGTTAGTTGTCGAGCCCTGGAAGAGGTGGTTTTATCATTTATTGTCATTGTGGGGCATCATCCTCTTTGTGGAGACTTCAAACATTGCTATAGTGTGTGTTTATGGTTCACTGTAGAAAACTGATAGGGGCTCAAATCTGAGCTCATGTACAGAAAGGTAGATGGAGCTTTTTTCTAGAATTACTTAGTATTCTATATGACCATTAATATCATGACAAAAAGTCTAAGATAAGGCCGGGTGGTGGTGGCGCGCACGCCTTTAATCCCAGCACTCCAGGAGGCAGAGGCAGAGGGATCTCTCTGAGTTCAAGGCCAGCCTGGTTCCAAGACAGGCTCCAAAGCTACAGAGAAACCCTGTCTCGAAAAAACAAAAAAGTTTAAGATATATATGTGTGTATATATATACACACATATATACAGTGTATATATATATATATATATATACACACATATATATCTTATAAATCTTACATCTTAAGGAAAGTTGTTAAGGGGTCAATATAAAACCAAAGGATTATGAGATTAGTAGCAATAAAATAGTCCTTAAATATTTGTTTTTCTTCTGTCCCATATCAGGTGACTCTTCTGACATGAGACAGAGATTTTACATTTCATTTTATTAAGCATGCTTGGGTTTAGAGAAGTAGAGAGCCACTCTACAACTCCAATGCCAGCTTTAATCTTTAATTGGATGGGGACACAAAAAGGCCATTTGCATTACATGTCTGTAGAGAACAGCAGAGACAAACATTTGGGAAGATTTCTGAAATTTGGTCCTGTTGGAAATGTGATGTACCAATAGGTCAGTTTACTCTTTTTCTTGAGACGTTTTTCTGGATGATTTGTCCTTTTTTTCCAGATGTCTCATTTGTCCAGTGGTCTTCAGATTCCTTAGCTGGATGCCTTTATTCTCCTGAAAAGACAAAAACAAAACCCTTCCCCAACCTTAATTTTGGGAAGATTCTTTTTTAGCAAGTTATATCTGATCAAATGAAAAGTACTTGTTAGTTTTATAGGTTAGTTTAGATTAAATAGTCATGTTGTTTTGAAGAAGGCCACTAAAAAGAAATCCCACACTATCTCCAAATTGCGTATATAAAATAGGGTTATTTATATAGGGGTAGACTTAAAGATCACAGTCCTCTGCATGAATGAGAAAACAGAAACCAAATGAAATCTGGCATAGGAATGTGTTTCACTTTGCAGAATTTAGAAAATTAAAATATGTACACCATACCATTAACACTTATTCAGGTTTTCAATGGGCAAACTGCTTTAAGCTCAGAAAAGCCTGATTCAGTAATCACACATTTATTAGAAGTTATGGCCATTATGGGTATACCTGCACAAATAAAGACAGATAATGGCCCAGTATATGTCTCTAGGAAAATGATTTTTTTTTGCTTATTATAATATTAAACATGTTACAGGTATACCACACAATCCTACAGGTCAAGCAGTTATAGAAAGATCAAATTCAACTATAAAGGATATGTTAAATAAACAGAAAGGGGTGGAAATGCCCCCAGGAATAGATTACATAATGCTTGAATTTTCTCAATGCTAATGAGAAAAGGACAACAGCAGCAGAAAGACATTGGACAATGGAAAAGTCTGCTGGATTAAATCAACTGATTGATTTCAAGGATGTGCTGACCTCACAATGGAAGCCAGG